ACGCTTCGTTGCTTAAGGTAAGCAAGCACTCATGTTAATCACTCTTCCATCACGAGTTCCGAATTTTTTTTACGTGCAGTTTAGTTTAGTCATTTGGTTTTGTAGACCAGATTGTACTCAATATCTGTTAGAGATTACGATGGCTTTGATCGGTCATGTTACGTTAGAACAAGTCATATCCGATTATAAACGATATTGTAATAGACCTAATGTGGCTCGCTTTTAGATGGGTTTGAGTCCGTCAATCACTTTTAACTTACCGTATGCTTTTTTCTAGAATATATAAATAGAACAATAAAACGAACCGATAGTCTATTGATTTCGTGGAGCTTTAAGCTTGAATCCTAACTTCGACCTTGAAAATAGGGTGTCTTTGCTCTTATGCTTAAACAGTTTAGATGAAGGTCGGATTTGTTATCCAAATGCTAACTTATGACCGGACTAATAAAATATGTTACAAATAGGTAATAATTGTAGTTGTCTAAGTCTAGATAAGGGGGGGGGGGGGACAAATTCTCTTTACTTCTTTATTTGATTAGATTCCGATCTTACCTGATCCATTTGAAGTGGACTACATTTGACGTTTTGAAGATGCTCTCATCGTCAAATCCTCAAATTTAACATCTTTTTACTACCCTGTAATCTGTATCGTTACTTCTTTTCGGGTTAAATAAATGGTGGCGTTACTATGGAGGCACAAACTACAAAGTGCAAATGGAATTTCCATTATTTTATTACCATATATGTTCCCGAATCCAAATATTTTGATGTCATCATCATATCATAAACATCAGAACCTTAACTTTTTTCTTGGGGGATAAAAAATGTATTAAGAAAATCATTCAATTTGCTTTCTAACGGAACACGGAATTGTCCGGAGAAGACTATTTCGGCTGCAATGTTGTAAAGTAAAAGTAAAAGCCACCAATCATTTTATATTCACTAAAAATCGAGATATAAATGCATAAAAGAAAATTCATGTCATTGTTTGCAACGGAAATATATTAGTAAGTTAGTAACAAACGATTTTCGCAATTAACATTTGATGAATGATAGTTTTAACATGAGTGCTTAATTTTTTCTCAGTTATTTCTTGTAACATATATTCACTTATGTTACTCAATTGGATTAGTAAAACCGTCAAATGATCATTATTTTTAAAGTTATGTATACCTTTCGTACATCTATGATATATTAATTCCTATGGGATGGTATTTTACATATACAAGAAAAGAAATGAAAAAAAGTGTTTGAGAAAAAAAAAATGAATTGACCAAATCTAACATAATTTTGAAGAAAAATCTCATCTCTTTTGTGGTGATGAGGTCAGTACGTAGTGTGGTGATTACACCCAAGACTAATCAATCCAATCCATGGGCTCAACCAAACTTTCCGGCGATGGCTAAAATAATCATCAAATACTTTTAGTTTTCTTAAAAAGTTTCCAACTTCATTGATTTTTTCTAGTATCATCATCATCAAGTTGCGCAGCTGATGCTCTACGTATATTTTCATACGGGCTTAAATTACTCATAAAATCTAATACCATGAGTGGGCTTGAGGTCCGCGCATTCATCATTACTTGTTATGGGCGTTGCACTGAGATATTGTCAATACCCATTTGTCTATTACTTCCTTTTCTGACCAGCTCCTCTTTGCTTAGGGCATGTAAAGCGGATTGTTTAACGATTTTAATTAGCTATCCAAAGTTATTAAAATATGAAACACTTAAAATCATCGCTGGGATATATAGAAAATATAAAAATGCTTAGGATTATTCTAATAAAGGCAATTGCGCGTAAAAGGTCGAACTCTCATCTAACTTATAGAGAGAGTATAGAGTATAGTCATAGATCTCTATTGAATGTTATGTCCACCACCAATTTTAACCGCGTACCATACTAAAACCTAAAAAAATGTCAATATTGATTATCATACGGGCGATAAAAAAAACATTCTAAAAACAAAGCTGATTTATTATTCTAAAGCGATTCACAATTAATTAAGCATATTTAATTTGTTGTGAGGATGAGGGTAGTTGTCGCTTGTCAGTGAGTTGGTGGAGCCAAATCATATTATACATTGTTGGGAGAAAAAAATTATACCGAATAGTTGACTAGACCTAGAATTTACCTAACCATGTAGCAGCATAGCTTACCCTACTTCTGTTTTATTCGTCCAAATTAATGAACCGGATAACTCAGCTCTGCCACATTAATCATTTTGTGGGTTAAAAATTTCGATTCGGAAAACCCAAATCCCATTTTATAAACTTTTATTTTGGCCAAACAAAAATTCGAAGTTTCAACCTAATCCCTCATGCATGTTACATCAGAAAAAAAAAAAATCATGTTCTTGGTTTGGCCAGTGAGGAACGTGTATGCTATAACTATTAATGCATTTGTGACATTGATGTTGTTGTGTCCATAATACAACACATCTTTATCAATTTTATTACAAAGAAACATCCCATATACTTATTTAGCTTTTAAAAAAGAAAAATCAAAATCATTGAACCCATGATATCTACTACTAACTACTGACAATATGTTAGACCTAGACAAACCCGGATAACAGCCTTTCGATGGTTGAGTAGTTTGTATATAATACAACCATAAGCTACTCATCACATACAATCTTCTTTAATGATCTTGTCCCTTTTTCTGTTTGTTGCCATTATGTAGAAAGAAAAAAAATCAAATAGATTTAGAGAAATTTTTTTTTTTTTGGTAAAAAGATTTAGGCATTTAGTAAGTAGGGGAAGAATAAAAGGAGGACCAGTCAACAGATTGCGACGAAGACGACGAACGCGTCTTAAATTGTTGATAATTTGCGTTTGCGAAGGATGTGGTCACAAGAGAGTAGATTTCTAATGGCGTCTGATGCGACTACACTCTCTTCTATGTTACTATATCTTATTTTTCATAAGGGACGCACTGCAAAGTTTTGCACGTTGGAGTCTAGCTTTTTCAGTAAATTTCGGATGTGTAAGTATAATTTCGTCGGCAGATAAATACACCCAAAACATTTCGGAGTAGTAAACACCAAAGCAACATGACATGTTTCTTATAGACTTTGGCATTATTAATTAGTACAATCGGTTTCTGTTGATATTTTACATGATTATGGGTAATTTTGAAAAAAAAAAAGTTTTTGGTGATAATGTAGGTGTTTTTTATGGACCCAACCCTGGGACCCAAATTTGATGATAATGTAGATTTTCTTATTCGACAAGATACATTAAAAAATTTATGATGCAATCCAATAAACAAAAAAAAATGTGGCAGTTTTGAATAGGTAAAAGTGGATCGGCGCAACCTTAACGTAATGCTTATTGACTATTAACAATACTTACCTATTGACTATTATACTAACAAAACTAACCTATCAACAAAAACAAACCTTAAACGTAAATAGTTAAAATTGAATGCATGTTGCATATTGTCAAATGTATTATTTTAGCTTTATTCGCTGGAAAACATAGGTGAATTACGTTAGGCATTACAAAAGGATAGTTACTTAATTTCTATGAATAGTAAGGGAAATAATAAATCTGACAGTAGAAAAAAAAATGGTAAAGAGTGACTTTAGAATGCAATCGGACACTAGTTTACACTTTTTCATTACAACTTACCAGAGAAAGGTCTAAAATGACAAAGATGTACTTAAAACACCATTAGAAACCACACAATCAATTTTTTAGAAACATAGATCAAATACATTTGATACGACTAGAATAAAAGAATATTAGTTACATCACTATCAATCACTATTAGAAAGAATAGTTAAAATCATTAGTTTAACAACACACTTAAAAAACGATATATAATTAAAAAGAAATCAAAGAAGGATGAAGACTTTTACTCGGAAAATCCCTTTTCACTGAAATTTGTTAGTGACTTTGTTATTTATTTATTTATTATTGTCAACTAATATATATATATATTTTTTTGTTAGTGTCTAAATGACTACTATAAATATAAATTGTTTGCATGTGTATTGACCTGACCATAACGAGCACTGAGACCTTGTCCTTTCAATTTAGTCTGCGCTTGAACACGGCACTCTTATGATGTAAACAATCCCTTTGGACCAAAACGCGGTTACGCAGACTCCGTCACAGACCAATTATCGTCCTTTTTTAATTTGCTGCGGCTCAACGATTTAATATCGACCGTCATTCACCAAAGGCTGTCACTTTAACACTCGCAGTCGTTTCTTCTCTCTATTTTCCCTAAAGAGGAGAGGGCAGTATAGCTCACATAATCAATCTATCTCATTTTTTTTTTCCCCTTTTCTTCAAAGGCTTCAAGTTTCAACAACCAAACCAAAGTTTGTACCTTTTTTTTTCAACCATCGAGATCTTCGCACGAACAACCTCGAAAGACTTTTTCTTTTTCTTGACCCACCAAAAAAAGTTGTTTTATTTTTGCGGGAAACCAGAGAATTTCAGTGTGTTCGTCTTTCCGAATTTGGAAGCTATTCTCTTTAGGGGTTTTGTTTAAGTCGATTATTTTAGATTTTAGCAGAAGAGTTATGCTCAAGGTCTTAGCTGAAATTCTCGCTTTTTATCACCATTTCTTATTTCTCTTGCTAATTTACGAAGGATCTGCAAGAGAAATACTCTGATCTTGTCTGAAAATTTTCTGGGAAAATCTTATTTTGGTGTACGGTTCTAAGGCTTTGAACTATCTGTAATCTTAGAGAAGAAACAGCTGACATCATAGGGTAAGTCAATTTTCCGGACTATTATTTATCTCTGCTTTGTTTTGTTTACATCTGTAATTATGTGTTCTTGTATGTGCTTGAGAAATAACTCTTCATGTTTCTCAAACTTGCAGAATTTGGAAACTTGTTGTTTAGATGGGAATTGATACCTCTCAACGGATAGATTACTTTAAGGTTGGTTCTAAGAATCTCTTATGATGGGAATTTTCTGTTGATTTTTTTGCCTTAAAAGGTTTGTTATTGTAATAACATGTTTTGTTGCTCTGCTTCAGATGCACTCTTCCATGTGCTTGGAACTGAAGAGATTAGTTGATAGAATCATGAGAATCTTTCCTGATATAGAAGATGCTCGGCCAGGAAGCTCTGCTGGGATTAAGACTCTATGTTTGCTCAACATAGCTCTGGAGAAAGCTAAGCTGCTTCTTCAATACTGCAGTGAATCCAGTAAACTCTACATGGTTTGTCAAAAGCTCAACTGATTTCTTTGGAAATGTGGAGTCTTTATGTACTCTTCGTCTCTCTATGTGGCCTATTGTGATTAACACTTTGCTTCAATCTTCAGGCTGTAACGGGAGATGCTATACTCTCAAGAGGTTGTAGAGCAAAGAAAGCATTAGAGCAACGCTTAAATGACATCCGAAGCATGGTACCGACTGTTTTGGCTACCAAGGTTTGTTGTACCAAACTCTGTTTTGCTTTGATTTCTAGGACAAAAAGCAGAATCACTGATGAGAGTTTTGCTTGCAGATTGCTCAGGTAGTCCAAGATCTTAGTTCAACTGTTTTGACTCTAGAATCATCTGAAGAAGAAGCTGGGAAAGCTGTCAGAGAACTGATGCAACGGAGCACATCTTCTTCTGTTTCTTCTGATGAGATCAGAGATTTCCATTTTGCAGCATTGAAGCTCCACCTTTCAACACCTGAAGCCATTGTGATAGAGAGAAGATCCCTAAAGTTGCTTTTGGCGAAATTAGGCGAGTGTCAAGGGGACAAGAGACAGATTCTGAAGTACCTTCTCTGTCTCCTGAAAAAGCATGAAAAAATCATTTGGAGAGATCACAAAGAGAACTCTTTCACAAGGCATCAGCCTGTTAATGATTCTCTGTGTGCTAGTGCTGCAGAGGCCGGGTGTTCTGAGGAACGCAATGCTAATCTTCCGGAACAATTTAAATGCCCTCTTTCCCTTACCGTGATGTATGACCCTGTCATCATTTCTTCAGGACACACTTTTGAGAGGATGTGGATTCAGAGATGGTTCGACGAAGGTAATGTTTCATGTCCTAAATCAAAAAGGAGACTGGATGATTTCACATTGATGCCCAACGTAGCGATGAAGGATCAGATATCAAAATGGTGCTCCAAGCACGGTCTTGATGTTCAAGATCCAACAACGAAGCACACAAAGGCTCTGCACAGCATTGACTTCTCTGTTTCCATCGCTAGTTTCGGAAGTTCTCTGTGCAATATCCCTGATCTCAGCGGCTTCTCGAGTACGGATTTCAGCTCGAGCTTCTCCACTGATTCGCCGTCCTACTCTAAGATGTTAAAGGGTGGTTACTTCACTCCAATGCAGACGATAAATTCCGAGTCAGGCACTGTTACCACAGATTCTTGTAACAGCGAGATGGAGATAGAGCCCTTATGTGAACTCACCAACCTTCCATGGGAAGCGCAGATCAAGGTCATCGAAGATGTAAGAAGTCGTTATGAGCACAACACTCGGGCCTTTCGGTTTATGTCACCGAGTAAATTTCTTGAGCCACTTATCACATACCTGAAGAATGCATATGAAAGAAATGGCACAACGGGAGATATAATAAAGGGTGGAATGGGTTTGTTATTGGATTTCCTCAATGGAAATAGGAAGGCTATAGAATCTTTGGAAGAAGATGTTTTCAAGACGTTGTCGGTCTTTCTCGGGTCCGAGGTAGTAGCTGAAGAAGCTCTGAACATACTTAAGGTTCTCTCTAACCATTCGCACTGTCTCTCCAAGATAACTTCATCAGTCTCTCTCTCTTCCCTTCTGAGGATCGCCGAGTCTGGAGCAGAACATCTGCAAGAACAAGCTATGATCACACTCAAGAACCTTTCCTCAAGCAATGAGATTTGTCTGGAAATGGTAGCTCTCGATTTCATCCAGAAGCTCACATCTTTCTTGCAACAGAATGTTTTCAGCAAACACTCGATCATCATTCTGAAAAACCTCTGCAACGCCGAGAAAGGCCGGGTTTGTATGACCGAAACCCCGGGTTGTATAGCTTCCATAGCTGAATTACTCGAGTCAAATGTTCCCGAGGAGCAAGAGAATGCAATCTCCATCCTCCTACAGCTCTGTGTGCAGAAGATAGAATATTGTTATATTGTCGTGAAAGAAGGCGTTGATCTTTACTCATCTCTTCTCTTGATATCCAACAATGGAACCGAGGAAGCGAAGGTGGGTGCATCAGAATTGCTTAGAGCTCTCGAAGAAGTAGATTTAGACAGAGAAGAAGAAAAAGAAGAAGAAGAGGAAACCTGCAGACCAGAAGAAGAAGCAACTGTCGCAACTATTGCACAGGTTGTTACTCATCAGAAACCTATAATAACAGCACCATCTCCAAAGAAATCAGGTCTTTTTGGATTCAGTATCTCCATTCTCAAGAAGAAGAAAAGATAAATAAAATATGCTGTTTTTTTTTAACATAGTTTTTAAAAAGTTATAATTTTTTTTTGGTGGTGCTCTCTCTTTGTTGACTCAGGTTTGTATATGTTGATTACCAATCCAAAGGGCCTCCCTTAATGCAAGTGTAGTTATGATTTGATAGGGAAAGTATGGTAATTTGCAATTTGTAAATCATTATATAATAAAAATGGTCAATTCTTTCAAGAAAAACTTTTTGCAATTTTTTTCCAACACTGGCAGAAATGGCGAGCGATGTGACCTAATAAAAAGTATGAATGTGATAAGGTGTTGTGTGACGTTCAGTAAAACTCGGAAATATTATGACTTTTATTTGTTCAATATTTCTTTTTTTTTTAATTGGGAAGAATCCGATTACAAATCCAGAACACCCTGCATAAGTCATATCCTTTATCGATTTTCCTGATATTATCAGTTTCATGTTTTTGTATAGTTTCCATTGGAGAGTTTGCAAATCTGTGAACTTTACCAGTATAGAGTGAAATAGAGAAATAATTCTATTTTGAATATAGCATATATATACTAATACAGTGTACAACAAGGAGTTGTTATCCCCACAAGAGCTTTTTTCTCTTTCTTCTACACATATACATATCCCCTTGGATATATATATTTCTATGAAGATATAGAACATTGAATTATCTTTGGATTGGTTTCCTCTATCTTTCTGGTTCAAATTTCAGATAACCTAGAGAAAAGGACAAGACAAAAAAAAAATGCGATTTTTCAGTGACCCTTATCTTATCCCTAACTTTTTACTTGAGGCTGAATAAATTAGAAACGGGATCGGTTCTCAAGTTGTTGTAAAGACATTGTGAGTGAGTTTCCCAGCTTGAAGATGTTTGATCTTTCTGCAGAAAAGAAAAAGAAACAGGTTACTTCACTGACAAGTAACAAGAATTTGGGAATGTATAATTAAGAAAGATTTATCTGAGAGAAAGATTATTACAGCGCCGAGAGATGTGGATTGGTTTGAGTTTATGACCGAGTAATCTAGAGATCCTTGCTGGTGTGATGGAAAAGACCGTAAATCCGCCATCATTGACTGCTTCGAGACAGCTTCTGGAAGATCTGTGAAGTAATCCTGAAACTAGATTTCAATTTATTAAACCAGTCAATAAATGCGGAAAACAAGTTTGGATAATTCTTTTGGTTGAAGCTGACTATATTCAAAACTTGTTCTCACCTGTTTTGTGGATAACTCATTGATATGAAACTCGAGTTCTGGATTTAAGACAGAGAGTTTCATGGACAAGAACTCGACTTGTTGTTGCAGAGATTGGACATAGTTGATGATCTCATCAAGCATACCGGCTTTTCCAGTAACTTTGTTGCATCCAGGAACAATATCCTGAAGACATTTCATCTTCTTGCTTATCTTTTCTCTCCTTGCCTGCCAAAATCCCATACAGACACAAAAAAAACCAATCAGATAAAACCCTAGAAAATAATGCCTGTCTGAAATCAATCTCTGTAGCAACACATTAGTTAATTACCCTTTCAGCTAAGCTATGCCTGTCGGTGGCTTCACCTCGTCTAGCTCTCACATGGATGTAATCTGGTTTCTGAATCTCAGAGGATGTCTCTGTGTTGCTCATGTTTGATTTTCCTTTCATGCTTGACTCTGTTTCATCCTCTGCTTTGATCTTCTTCTTCTCTCTCTTTTCTGTCTTACCCTGAAATTGATTTTTAAGAAAAACATTCAAAATCAATGTTTCAAACAAAATCCAAACCCCCCAAAATCAATAATTTCTGGAGCTACAAACCTCTGGTTTTCTCTTGTTCTGCAAGGCAATGGCTCTGTTATCTTCACTGTTCTTCACTGTTTTCATTTGGAAGCTACTTGTTCTGGAAATGCAGCCATCAATAGTATCGTAATCCGGTCCAAATTCAGGAAAATGTCTGAAACTCTGCAACTCATCAGTGTTGTTTCCCAAATAACTCTCAACCCTTTTGAGTTCTTCTCTCCCATCTGAGCCAAGTATCTGAAGAAATTCAGGTGAAACCATTTGTTGCTGTTGCAGCCATTTAAGCCTTTCAAGTACAGACAAGTCCATGGAGAGAAGGTAAAAAGAAAGGGGTTTAAGTTCTTATCTTTTCTTTTGGGGTTAAAGCTAAAGAGAGAAAGAGAGAGAGTTAAGTTATATATGTGTGTGGGAGAAAAATAATCCATTAGATATAATTATTCTTAGCTTTAAATAGAAAGCAACATTGACCCACACACATGAGATTCGAAATCTAGTGAGAGAGGGACAAAATTGATAAAAGTGGAGGAGGTTGGGGACAAAGAAGGTGAGATGAGAAGTTGTGGGGTCTAAATGACATAACCTACCATGTGGTCATGTCCTTATGAACATGATATGAGGAGTCTCTTAAGTTAGTCTCTTTTGTGTCTTTCTCTGGTCTTTTTTTTTTGCCCTTTCAAGTTTTTAAAAGGATCTTTTATTTGCCAACCAAAATATAAAGCCGACTTAGCAAACTTAAGGTTTAAGAGTATAATCATATAAATGTTGTGATTTGAGAAATTTCTTTTCAAACTTTATTTTCATTCTTGGCTCATGATCAATCATATATATATCTGGTAAATGAAGCAGTAAACTGAAAGGTTTGAATCAAATAAATAAGAAATCAATTATTTGTAAAATCGCATCATTGAGTTATTAGTCACACTCTAACTAACTTCTGATTGTGTACCATTTTATAGAGAATATTGCTTCTTGAAGAAAGAGTGTTTCTTAAGGTTATGGTGTGGACAATGTGGGGAATGTGAATTATGAATCTTAACTTGCAAATGAATAGAAACAATGGGTTGAATCATGAGCGGTTTGGGGTGAGAGTGATATCAGTTTTCATGTCTGGTTGTGAATCTATACGTGATCCTTGTGACGTATTATTATTACTATCATTTATCAATCTATAAATTCAAATCAACATTTTTGTTCTATTTCATATATTAGAGAGATCATTAACCAAAAAATTATATCCTAGAGAGAGTGAGAGCATCTCTATGAATATATTTGAAATATTATACAAGTTTATTTGGCCGAAAATTCACAAGTGATAGGGACAAGAAATAAATAATAGATCTAAAGAAGAAAATGGGATTGAAGATAAGTGATAGGAAGGTAGGCGACACCATTGCTTTTGATCTAAGTGTTTGGTCCCTTTACATTTTTATTTTCTTTTATATATTTTATAATTATATATCTATACTCGATAAGATAATTCAAGAGAATCATCAATACTATTTTGGAAAATTCTTCATTAGGTAGATTATTGGGACTTGAGAGATTCTTCTTCATTTTGAAGGCAATTACACATACAAATTCAAAAACTTGTAAGCAAAAACAAAACTACGTTTAAGCAAAATAAGTTGTTGAACTTCTATAGCATGTCCATGGAGATTCAGTTGCTTTGTAGTACCATGGCATGTTATTACTTACCAAAAATAGTAACAGCCACTCTCTTCTTCTTCCAGAACCGCTTCGAACCTCTGGGACAAATTTGATTGAACCGGCCGGTTCAGATAATTCGCAATTACGGGTTTTCTTGTTAAACCACAAAATAAGATTTTACAGAAACACTCTGTCTCGTTGAGCAGGTTCGACTTGTCTGGCTCAGGCGTCGCCACAACTCTACTGCAGGTTCACCACACATACACTCGGTGCAGCCAATGTTTTCTTTGCATCTTTTAGCTCTCAATTCTGAAATATCTGTTTCTCTTGTCCTTCGGTGATTTCTCGAATTTCTTCTCTGTGAATCGATCGATAGCAAATGTCTGCTTCTTGTGCTGTAACACCGTCTGTTAGGACAGAGTTCCTCAGCTCATCATCTAAAAGTTCCATCTTTCCTGCTCAAATTTGCCGACCCAGTAAGATTCTACAACACCTTTCATTGTTTTCCGTAGATTAAGCCTGCAATATAACAGCAATTTTGTTAATTCTGCAATGAAGGAAACAAATGTGAAATGAGCAGAAGGGATTTTGCTGTGAGAGGGATTGTTGCTTCTGGAGTTTCAGTCATGGGTACTCCTTCTTCACCATCAGCTGCTTCTCAGTCTGCTCAAGGTTTGAGCCTTTTAAACCCTGGTTCTAGATTGTGGCTTCTCTCTCTTGGTTTAGTTGTTCTGAACGAATTGGATGATTCTTTAGGTAGTGAGAGGTTGGCTTTCAAGCCAGAAGGGTATAACTTTTGGGAATGGAGAGGTCACAAGATTCATTATGTGGTTCAAGGAGAAGGCTTACCTCTTGTTCTTATTCATGGATTTGGTGCTTCTGTCTTCCATTGGAGGTACCTTCAATTTCTTTTAGATACTGGCTCTCTCCTGATTTGAGAACATCTCTTATAAGTTTATGGCTTTCATTGGGTTAAAACCGGTAAATTTGTAGGTACAACATTCCTGAATTGGCTAAGAAGTACAAAGTTTACGCCTTGGACTTACTCGGTTTCGGATGGAGTGACAAAGCTCTGATAGAGTATGACGCCATGGTTTGGACAGACCAAGTTATTGATTTCATGAAAGAGATAGTGAAAGAGCCTGCTGTTGTGGTTGGAAACAGGTAAAAATCAATGTTCTACTTTGAAAGCTCTTTTTTTTTTTGTCAGTTCATAAGAAAAAGTGAGACAAAGCTTTCGACTTTTTTTTCGCACACAGCCTCGGTGGATTCACAGCTTTGTCAGTTGCGGTAGGACTGCCCGAGCAGGTCACGGGGATTGTGCTTCTAAACTCTGCAGGACAGTTTGCAGCCGAGAGTAGAAAACGAGAGGAAGCTGATGAAACAGTGATAACCAAGTTTATAGTGAAGCCGCTCAAAGAGGTTTTCCAACGAGTGGTTCTCGGGTTCTTGTTCTGGCAAGCCAAGCAACCTTCTCGAATCGAATCTGTCTTAAAGAGTGTAATGTCTTACTGACTATTTGTGAGATTGCCTCTTCATCGTTAAAGTTTGCTACTTTGTACTCATTCATCTCTTATTGCAAAAATTTGCAGGTGTACGTAAACACTACTAATGTCGATGACTACCTCGTCGAATCCATTTCAAAACCTGCAACAGACCCAAATGCTGGAGAAGTATACTACAGGTTACTACAAACACCCAAAAAAAGAGCTTCTCTGTTTTGATACATGAAGGGACCCTAACTGTTGTTTTGTTTGTTGACTTCTTACAGATTGATGACAAGGTTCTTGACGAACCAGAGTAGATACACTCTAGATAGTGTTCTAAGTAAGATGACTTGCCCGCTCCTGTTGCTTTGGGGAGATCTTGACCCGTGGGTGGGTCCTGCTAAAGCTGAGAAAATCAAAGCATTTTACTCAAACTCGTCGCTCGTGCACTTGCAAGCAGGGCATTGTCCTCATGACGAAGTCCCAGAAGCTGTAAACATAGCTCTGTTGGATTGGTTGTCCAATGTAGTTTCCAAGCCATTGTCCCCTAAAGTCACAGAGATGTAAAGACTCTTTTTGCGAAGGAGGTATAGACTATATAGTAGTTGTAAATACATTGTTATCACTGCTTCTTAGATTGTATGATTTGAGATTAGCAGGAGGAAATGATAATGGATTAATGGTTTTTAGAGCAAATATTTGATTAAGCTTTTGCTAAAAACGAATATGACCGGATATGATCTTCTGAGCAAGTATCAGTGACGCAGTGAGTTGCCCATTTGAAGCCCAAGGGAATAAATAGACAACGTTCAGTATGACATTTGATTATTGACGAGACACATTGTTCTCCGAAGAAAAGTCATTGACGGCTTCGTTCGACGTTATTGTTTACTCTGACTAACGGCATCGTTTAGTCTTTCTCAGAGTTTAACGGCGACACCCCTTTTTCGCAATTTTAATTAAAAAAAATATTATACAAGTTTTTTTTTGTCAACTATTATTATACAAATTAAATATCAAAATTTCAAAGTTGGTATATTTAGAAAAAAATGAGAGATAACGAGAGATGTAAATTACTGACAACAAGAACATCAGAATATATATATATATATATATATTTGTGGTGTATTTGTTAAATTAGTGTCAAATTATTGCATTAAATTTTGAATTCGAATATAAAAACACAAATAATTACACACAAAAATTAAAACCTAAAAAAACCAAATAAAATAAATATAATTACAAGGTAAATTTTCTTTTTGTGTTTGATGTGATTGTTGAGAAATGTTTAACAAGTTTCTTATTATTATTGTTTTTTTTTTTAATAAAAAATGATTGATCTATATTAGTTGTGGAAACAAATTGGACATAGGCAATCTCTAACGACCAAATGAATTCAAATGGCTGGATATCATGTCCGGTTAGTTTCACAACTAATATAAATTTAATCGATTTTAAATTAATTCAAAATTTAATATGAATAAATACAAAAAAAGATAATAGAAAACATATCGTTTAAAAAAAATCTTCTCTCACCATCTCTTCCTTCCTGAGTTTCACATTTTATGGAGAAAGTTTTAACCTGGAATAATAATAAAAAACATCAGATTCTCTTATTAGGCTAGATTCAAATTTTATTTAATGTTATTAATTTTTTTCTAATAAAAAAATAATTGATTTAATAGTTGTGAAAACAAATTGAACATAAGTAATCTCTAACTACGAAATGAATTCAAATGGATGGATACTATGTTCGGTTAGTTTCACAGCTAATGTAAATCTAATCAGTTTTAAACTAATTTTAATTTTAATACAAAATAATAAAAAGAAAATATAGAATAGAAAACATATATTTTTTTTTAAGTTTCCTTCTCTCAGTGTCTTTTACTTTTTGAATTTTATTTTATAGAAAAATTTGACCTGAAACAATACAAAAAAAGATAATACCAAATTTTTTTGTTTAGATTATATTCAAAATTTTATTTAGTATTGCTATTATTATTATTATTATTTATTTCTAATAAAAAACCGATTGATTTATATTAGTTATGAAAACAAATTGAACATAGGCAATCTCTAACGACCAAATGAATTCAAATTGCTGGATACCATATCCGGTTAGTTTTACTGCTAATATAAATCTAATCGATTTTTAACCTAATTTATATTTTAATGCAAATAAAAATAAATAAAGAATAGAATATGTATCTTTATTTCCGAGTTATGTGGTGTGGTGTTTTAGATATGATCTATCTCGATTTCCTCCAATATTCGCTAAGGCGCTGCAAGAATATCACAATTGAGCAATAAGAGATCATATCTAGAAAAACGTAACATTAATACCAAAGAAAAAAAAAAAACAGATCATATCTAGAAATAAGCAGTAGGGTCAGAGAGAAACATATTTACCTCGCTAAGCAATGGTTCTCTATCTATGCAGGACTTAAATTTTACTCTCAAACATATTGAAGAGAAGAGGCAATGCATCCCTCCTTTGCAACCTGTATCAGATATCAAAGTTCTTCAGGTAACAACTAAAGACAAGAAAAGACTTAAAAAAAAGAAGAAGATCTAAGACCGCAACTAACGTTTCCAGAAGATATGAGATAAATTGGATAAGGTCTAATTCTGAAAGTTCGGGAGTTTTTGTCTCTTAATCTCATCCATCATAAAATTTGCAGGTTTCATGTTACCCATAGATAAGTACCTAAAATGCAAAAGAAGAAACATAAAGAAAAATCAATACCATTCCCTTCACAATATGGTATATTTTGATACAGTTATAAAGCATAAACTTACATGAGAACTGATCGTGCAATCGCAAGGTCATCTTCACCAGGATAACACTGCGAAGTAGCATGCAAACTCAGGATATCCAGTACTCTGCAAAAACAGTAGTTTGAAATTACTAACTCTATTATCTTTGATACATTTTCACACCAAAAAATTGGCCAATACTATCTGAATAAGAGAAACAGTACACGTAACTTACTTTTATAGCAACTCTCAAGAACGAAGTCAAGTTTTCTACCCGTGATCTAGCTTCCCCAAGAGGTTCTTGGAGATTTTGGAGATCTTCATCGTCGCTCACATCTCCCAAATGAGGCGGTACAGGAACCTGATACGATATGACAGAAGTATTTCAGTATAACCATAAAGAAGTAGAGCAATGGGTTGTAGCAGTTATATACGGTCTGGACTAACCAAGAGTTGCTAGGTGACTTGGCTTTAACTAGTGTGTCCACGAATAAAAGAGCAAGGTCCGCTCCACAATTCACCTGAGGAATCATTGTATTAATACGAAATTACCTTTACAAAACTGAAAGATAAGAAAATAAAAAAAAATTGCAAGTACATGTCATAACAGGTTCAACACTCTTGTTGATTCTTCAAGGTACCTGATGCCTTTTAGCAGCATGTGAGAGCTTAAGAGTTGTTCCACGAACTGAACTCAATTGTTAGAACTTGGAGATATTCCAGCTCCTTCAGCAAGCTCTTATCTGGATCCGTGTACTCCCTGAAATGCTCTAAAGCTTTCGTGTGTATTCCAAATTCAAATGAAGTACAACCGCCTGAAAAGAGGATATCAAGTGCGTTAGAGAATCTATGAGCCATTAACGTATCTGCGAGCAAAAAGGCTTCATGTGTTATAAATCCTAACAATATAAGCTACCAGTTCATAACCATCAAGAATCCAATTTTCAAGCAATTACCAGAATCCTAAAAGGTCAAAAAGTTGCACAATCGAGTAAAGGACAATTGGGTTATTGAGTAATTGAACCAAAGAGGAGATACAAACCTTGCACTCTGATTGATTTGTAGTTGTACATCTGCAACGCTCCATAGTAATTGCCTTCCTCTACCACTTTCCTCGATTTATCAATATGTTATAAGAATTTGAGGAAAAATAAACCCATCAATTTAAAAGGATCCATCTTTATCCCCGATGGCACAGTAATAGAGAGAAACCGACAATTCCAGTGAAATTGGCCAAATTTGAAAGAAAAATCAAATCGAGAGAACCTTGTTGCAGGTGAAAACGAAAACCCATAAGGATCTATCTTAATCTTTGAAATCGAAAACCACCAATCTTTATGTTGATGATAAGAATCGCAAGGTGATAGAAAAACAGACAATTTTGAAAAAAGAAAATCGAGAGAACCTTTTCGCTGGTGAAATCAAAATCTGGGAAAAACTGAAAACAGATCGGAGTTTGTCGTAAGTAAACGTACCTCTTGAACCGACGATAGTTCTCGTTTGATTCTCTCTCTCGACATGAATCAGATTTTTTTTTGCTTGAATGTGGTGGATTCAAAGATCTTCCAACGGTTCTTTTATTTCTTTGTTGAATTAATATTGCAAATAGATGATATATATAGTTCGTAGGGATTGTGTGATAACGGTTATATTTTTCGATAATCCAGAATTTTAACCGATTTAACCGTGAAAATACAAAAGAATTGTAATTTTAGTTAACGTTGTCACAGTTGCCCAATAGCAAAAATGACCAACAAGATTTGGAATACTTTTTCCAAGCTCCAGTTCTTTTGTCAAAGATAATATTTAATAATTTTTCTCACTGGAAGTCTTAATTTCGATAATTGAACCCCAAATCAAGATGGTTAGAAAAATTTATCATTTTACTTTAAGAAATTTTTGTAGGTTTGTAAATACTCTCTCTGTTTCGTTATATAAGTTGTATTATTTACTCTAAGCCGCTTTTTTCGTGTCAACTCCTAAGCTAAGAAATATCTTGTCTTCTTTTTATTAAAATGGTCGTATGAATATTGAGTGTTCTTTTTATTAAAATGGTCGTATGAATATTGAGTGTTCTTTTTATTAAAATGGTCGTATGAATATTGAGTGTTGCTGCGATTCCAAAGTGGCCAACATAAGGACCCTTTCTTTCTTTTCTTTTCGTTTCTTTACTATTTTCTTATTCCAACATTTCTTAACTTAAAAAATGATGGAGTCAGTTTTTTCATTTCATTTTATTCTACCGTTTCCAAGCTCAAGCAAAATGAAAATTTCCTACCACAGTGCAGATTACATTTTTGTGACACTAGTCATGTAAAAGGTGAAAGTGTTTTACAACATGAGAAAATTATTTCATATACATAGAAAACTATTTTAGTAAAAAGATACTCGCGATTCCATCTCAACATCTATAATTCTATTAAATCATGACAAATTATGATCAACTCCTTTTATTTCATACATAATTCATTCATACACTAGTTATATATGCTCACAAAGATTCTTTTCAAATGATTGCCCCCAACATTTACCAGAATACTATATAGTATAGTACTGAAATTCACATATATCAGTTGAGTACTCCAACTCGCTTAAATAGCGTTCTGCAAAATTTATCAATTAGTCGTATCAAGCAGTGTTTTTTTTTCCATCTACCTTCAACATAAAGCACCTAGAAAATGTGAAAGTCAAAAACGACAAAATTTTGAATTATCGGGTTAAACAAAGTTAAAATCAATGATTAGCGGCGAACATTTAGAATCATATTTTTGCCGTATATATATGTTTTCTTTTGCTTTATTTGACCTTTTTCTGAATTATTTTGTTCTATATGCATGAGTTTTAACATCTGAACATATAAAAGGGAAATAAAATGAATCTAAAATGAATAGAATCTCCTTATCATAACTTTACCATGTACTAGTATAGATTAAATAAACAGAGAGGATTTCGCAAAAAGAGAAAAGTGGTCCTAATTAATATTCAGATTGCTCTAAACTGTAGGCTGTCCTGTGGACAAAGTGAAGGAATCCAATCTAGTTGAGATGGAAAAGATAGAAAATAGATTTAAATACATAACCAGGAAAAAAAAACCAAGAGATGAAAAAATGGGACTCTAATATAGTACTATAAAGTATAAACCTAGTATTTGGTATTTATAAAAGTCATGTCCAACACGATCATAGACAGATAAACGCGTGTCTCTTAAGTTAACAGTTCTGCGATATATACTTTATAATAGTGATTGTAGTCGTTGTAGGTATTTTATGATGTAGAAAATCAGATTTAATTTTAAAGCGAAGGATATATACTTACTTAAATGCACCGATCATGAAATTGTGCAGGTATGAATAAGTGAATCTTGTAAGTAGGGCAAGCATGGGTTATAACCGCCATCATTATGTTCGGACCATAATTATTTTGAACTTGTACACTGTACAACCATTTAAACTATAAGATACAGTAGTACACTGACATTAATCAACGTATGGATTCGTCTTTTATAATTTTTTTTCTATTGCCTAGGGCTCATGCATGCTTTACAAGACACGCACTTATAAGCAAGCATGCGTATACACACGCACACGTTTACATTTGCACATAGATGTGCTGGAATTCGAATATACATCGAACCAATTAACTGGATTTGAATTAAACCGGTAAATAAAGGTTAAAAACATGATTTCTCTCTTGTTTAAAACCTAGTTGATTAAATTAACCGAGATCATCAAACTGTGCACCAAATCGATTCACATTCGATTATTTTTAAAGTAAAATAATAATAGCCTAGATTGTATATCTATATATATATACCATGTCATTTTTTTCGTCTATAACTTAAAGAGTAGGTTTCTACTGTTTTGGAATTCCTTTTTATCAGAATTAATAATTCTTTTTCCTTGTCGTAACAACAGTATTATGATTAACATTCACTATTATAATTAAAATACGATATTGATATATCAAATGATTACTAGTCATAATCCACATTAAATGTTTACAATCATAATCCACATTGATTCATGCTTTAACTCAACATGGAAAAAGCCAACTACCCATTTATGGAGAAAAAAATCGTTATCTGATCAGCTTGATAAACGATTGTAAAATTGTTACTAATTTATTGTAGGAACCTACAAAGTTTATCAATTTTTTTTTTCTTTTTCTTTTAATGATCCATAAACCATATTCGAATCGCGAATCAAAGTCAAAGGATTATAAGAACGGTATATAGTGAAAATCAGTGCAGGTATAAAGCCTTGTTAATCAATGATACATTTAAGTCTTTCAAGTTGAAATAAACTTCGATATCGATTGGAAGAAGGCAACGAAGAAATGAGTTGTCAACCAAAAATGGAATTCATTTAATAATTGATCAAATCATGCATGGCACGAAAAATATCGTTATCGAGGACACAAAAAACGTTACGCTAGCGATTAGCGAATCGGTATGTATAATTTATTAGGGCGATCAAATGTATAAGGACTATATATTGTATATATCCACCCAGCACCATAATTGTGTCGTACTTAATAATTAGGGATGTGGTGTAATGAAATTATAATTTTCGACTTGCAAGAGCATATGATCGTGAGAAGGATACAAACAAAAAAGAGGCTCTAGATGATCTGGAGGGACGGTTAAGCTGTCTTATTCGTGACATGACTCGTTTATTTTTCTACTTTATGTTTATAATTACTTCAAATGGATCAGATCATCAGATTTTAAATTAATAAATGTTCAAATTTTGAGAAAACTACTACACCAATAGTCATTTTCAGACTATTATTGCATTTGTCAGGTCAGTTTTACAAAAATGCCAGTGATTCAACTGTTTTTAGTAGGATCTAGCTTTTGTATATAGTAACATTAAAATATATTAACAAAGTTATGACTATCAGAACATCGATAAATATATTATTAATTTGCAACTTATGTTTTAAATCACTAGTTGAAATTACAAAGGTTACATCAAGTCAGAAAACACCACTGATGACTTTTTCCATGACTACTGGTTACAAAACTTATACCAAAACTATACTTACCAAAGCATTAATCAAAGAGGCATTCGATTTTTTTTTTCTTTCGAAAATTAGTTAGGAAATCGAAAATTAACGTTTTTATTTTATACTAGTAGTTTTAAATATTCAAAAATGTAATAAAGAAGTTACAAATGAAGGAACTGGTACAAAACAGAAGTGCGTTACACATGTAGTTAATTCATTGGCAGAAGCAACCGATTGGTTTCTTCTTACAACTTTCACAATATTTGTTTCCCTCTTGGGAACCCAAATTGTTCTTGTTCATTTATTATACTCTTTTTTCTTATTCTTTCTGTTTTTGTCCGTATTTTCTTTTTAATTTGGTTTTTTATAGCCTTGCAAAAAACGACACTCTTATATTATTACTTTTTATCCAGATGACTACACCGGTTCGGAAAATCCAAGTTTTCTAGAGTGTTACTCCCTATATTTTTTAAAAAACAATGAGATTTCTGCGATCTGTTATTCTATGATTTTTAATTCAATTCATAACGTTCTAATTCTATTATCAAGAGAGAGATATATACAAACATTACTTTCATGGAAAATGATGAAGATAGTGTGCTGCGACGATCGGTCCCACTGGAGAAGAAGAAGTGACAACAACGAGTAGTGTCTATTTCCGATTTTGCCCTCTCCCTTTCGGTTCGCGCGTTTCACCTGCTTACCGGCTACACCTGTCGTACTTTTATCGGTTTCATCACTAGTAAATAATTAAATTTACTAAAATAAATAAGCCTTATTAAAAAATACTACAGAAATTGTTATTAACTGAGTCGCCGCCGCGCCGGCCGTTACCATTCTAGCAGCACGACTGTTTTCAGAATTTCTTTCTATTATTAAAAACAAATTTATAATATTTTGTTATTTTGTTTAATAGTACTAATTCTTAGAGTAAGTCAGACAACTAGTCATTATTATAACGTTTCCTACATATGCGATTATTATATTCACTAATAATTCGAAAGTAAGTAAACAAAAAATCGTTGTCAAAAAAAAAGTAAACAAAAAATCAAACAGGCAAATGTTTCTTCTCATAACGTTTTCCCTACATATGCGATTTGGCCATTTCTGATTTTGTTTTCCTTTATTTATTAGTTAATTGTTTTTTGTACGATGTTTAGAGATGGGAATAATAATAATACCCTTTTTCTTAAAAATATATTCGAAGTATATAGTATTTCAAATTAAAGCTGAAGAGACCCTTTTTCGTCATTTTGGAGTTTCTTTTTGGGACATTTCTCTTTTGATTTTCGCTTTTTCATCTTCTCTCTCCCTCTTGACTTCCGTTCAGACTCTTAAGGAAGCGCCTACAAACCAGAGAGAGAGAGAGAGAGGTTGAAGACGGAGACGGATTGCGAAGCCCTAGAATCGTTGTTGATTCTCATGGAGAATCTCTCTCATTCTCGGCATCCGAACAGGTCCGGGACTTCACTACCGAAGAAAGCTTGCAATGGTAATGGTGGTTTTAGCTACGGCTCCGGCAAAACGGCTAACACCGCCACCACGTACGACGACGTTTTCGGTGGTCCGCCTAGGTTCGGAGCGCCGTCTTTATCTCCACGTCTCGAAGACTACTGCGAGATTTTCGCTGGATTCAACGGCTCCTCACGCGCCGCCGTCTCCTCGATTCCGGTGCTCGATCTTCCACTCGTAGACGATAGAGATGTCTTCTTCGATGTTCGGAGCCAGGGTTTTGACTACCGTGAGGTTTTCGGAGGTTTTAACGATCTCGATTTAGCGCCGTCGTACGAGGAGCTTTTTATGCAGCGGTCCACTGTTGGTGATGGCGATTCCTCCGACGACGCTTGGTACTTCCCATTAGCCTTTTACTGTATATTTCCCTCTTTCTTACTCTTCACTCAATTTTTTTCAGACTATTTAGCTTTTTTTTTGTGATATCCTCTGATTTTGAATTTCTTGATGAATTTCTAGTTTTTTTGTTCTACAAAAGTTTTCTTTTTTTAAGAATGTATTCATCAATTGGTTGAATTACAGATTTTGTGTCGCAGTATTTAAGATTGAGGTTCATTTTGTAGGACTCCTGAAGAAGTAGAGTCGCTCTCTGGCAAAAGTCCTTCCTTTTCCAATGGCAGAGATTCGTACGACTCCATTGATGGGTGTACAGAGTTCAACATCTCCTATCACAAAACTAGTCAGATAAACGACGCAAACATGTCCAGCGGCGTGACACGTGTGGCTGATCTTGGTGCTATGCCTGGTTACACCGTCGCAGTTGATGAAATGATTAGTTCAAGTGGAACCTCAAAGCTCAAGAAGGAGACTTTGAAGACAAGTGGTAAATACGCTTTTGAAGACAAGGATGGTGCCAGTAAGTATTACAGCGGAGCTACGTCTTATCCTAGTGAACCTTTTGTGACTGTTTCTGAGATTGGTTTGAAGACTCATCCAACTGGGATACCACCTCCTTCGAGACCACCTCCTATACTGAAGAGTGATTTTAGAAGTTCGGCTTCTCATTCCAGGACCACCGGATCAGAAGGATCCGCGGAAGGAGGTTCTCCACCGTTCTTTGATGTAGAGGTTGATGCGAGCTCAGCAGCTGTGAGAGAAGCTATGGTTAAAGCTGAGGCAAAACTGAAAAGTGCAAAAGAGCTCCTAGAGAGGAAGAGGGATGGGGCACGGACCACCACGAAGCGAACCTCTACGAACAATAGAATGATCGAGGAAGGGAAATCTCTGAGGGATACGCATGGAAGCAAGTCTCTCTCTTCTCAAGGGTCTGCAAACTCTGACGGGAATGATGAGTGGGAAGAGGCTACAACTACACAGTTTGTTGAATTGGTTAGAACAGAGCAACCAAGGAATGCTGATGAGAACAGTGGAGGGAAAGGTGATTCTTTTTCTCTTAATGCAGGGTTTTTCGACCAGAAGCTGACACGGGCTGCTAATGTTGACTGGGAGAGACAACAGAGGAGAGGAAAAGGAGATAGGGAGGATCATGAAGCTAAGAAGTTGCCAAAACATCCTGGAACGAGAAAAGTATCATCTAGGCTTAAGAGGCATGAGGACAAGCTTGCAGAGAAGGCTCCTGAAGAGCCAAAGAGTGATAAGTTTAGAGATGTTGAGCTGCAATTTGAGATGCCTGATCATGGTGGGATAGTGAAATACAGAAATCTGCTTAGACCAGAAGAAAACAAGCCCATAACTGAAAAACGCATTCAAAATCAACTTTCGGATAGAGTAGCACATGGGAAAGCAGCTGAAAAGAACCAGGATTGTGTGTTTGATTGGGAGCAAAATGCGAGAAAGCTCAGGGAGGCTCTTGGTCTAGCAGATAATGGAAGCACGCTAGAGGTTCCCTTGCAACTGATAGGAAATGGTAAAAGTTTGGGAATGCGTGGCGAAACGGAAGAGACAAAACTGAATGAGGCCTTGAGGCGGATAGAGGAGGAAACTGGGTCTAAAGCAGCTCGTGTAGAGGAAGAAGCTGACAGGAGAGAAAGAGAGACTTTTGAGAAGGCAGAAAAAGAGAAAAAACTAAAGGCAGCTTTGGAGCAAGAAGAGAAGGTCAAAAAGCTTAAGGAAGCTCGTGAAAAAGAAGAGAATGAACGGAGAGCGGCAGAGGCTCACGAAAAGGCAGAACAAGAAAGGAAAATGAAAGAACAAGAAGAGTATGAATTGCGGCTTAGAGAAGCCTTTGAAAAGGAAGAAAAAACCCGTAGAATGAGAGAGGCTCGCGAAAAGGCAGCACAAGAAAGGAAAATGAAGGAACAAGAAGAGTATGAACTGCGGCTAAAAGAAGCTTTTGAAAAGGAAGAAAAGAACCGTAGAATGAGAGAGGCCCATGAGAAGGCAGAGCATGAGAGGAAAATGAAACTTGCACTTGAACAAGAGAAGGAACGGAAATTAAAAGAAGCACGTGAAAAGGAAGAAAACGAACGAAGAATAAAAGAGGCTAGTGAAAAGGCAGAGCTGGAGCAAAGGCTGAAAGAAAGTCTTGAACAAGAAGAGAAAGAAAGGCGGATTAAAGAGTGTCACGAGAGGGAAGAAAATGAGAGGAGAGCTAAAGAGGTTCTTGAGCAGGCAGAGAAGGAGAAGAAGTTGAAAGAAATCTTTGAGCAAAAGGAGAAAGAAATGAGGGTGAAAGAGGCACTTGAAAAGGAAGAGAATGAGAAGAAGCTGAAAGAAGCTATTGAGCTAGAAGAGAAAGAGAAAAGGCTGTTAGAAGCTTTTGAGAGGGCAGAGATTGAGAGAAGACTGAAAGAGGATATTGAACAGGAAGAGATGGGGATGAGGCTGCAAGAGGCTAAGGAAAGAGAAGAAAGAGAAAGAATTGAAAAAGAAAATCAAGAGCATCACGAAAAGGAAATGAAACAACATGAATATACAAGAGAAGAGAGAGACAAAAGACAAAGAGACACATGTGAAATGGAGAAAACCTGTGAAATCACCAACGAGGGCCGTGGAGAGCAATGCTCGAAGGAGAGTCTTAGCGACACTTCAGAAGAGGATGGGAGAGTAGACAACCACAAATCGGTGAAGAAACGAGAGGAGGAAGAAGAAGGACCAAGCCAGAGAGTATCTGAAGAAGCCTGTCCTTGGAAGGTTTTTGAGAAGAACCTTAAAGATGCAAGCCAAAAAGGAACCAGTGATGTGGATGCTGAATCTGAGATAATTGAGAGCAATGGAGAGGAACCTCAGCAGAGTGAAAATGAAGGATATAACCAACTAAATGGAGAATCAGGTGAAGAATCCGCATCTGTGACTGACAATGTCCAAGGAGGAAAGCTCAACCAAAAGAGCAAAAAGTTTGAAAGCACCATCGATGCCTCAGTGCTCAAAGGAGATGGTGGGAATAAAACTGAAACTGAAGAAAGATCCGAAGACGAGAATGTCAGAAATGCAGGTCTTGGCCGTCATCAAAGGAATCCAGGGGAAAGCAAGTGTGCTAACAAAGCACCCTCTGATGCAAAATTAGAAAGACCATTGCCTTCTCGAGTGTCTTTGCAACGTGAGAAAGAAGCGGAGAGACTAAAGCGAGAGAGAGACTCTGAGATGGAACGTTTAAGAAAGGTAGAAGAAGAAAGGGAGAGGGAAAGAGAGAGGGAGAAGGATCGAATGGCTTTCGATCAGAGAGCCCTGGCTGATGCACGTGAAAGACTGGAGAAAGCATGTGCCGAGGCCAGAGAGAGGTCTTTGCCTGACAAGGCATCAATGGAGGCAAGACTTAGAGCAGAACGGGCAGCAGTGGAGAGAGCAACCGCTGAAGCTCGTGAACGTGCAGCTGAAAAGGCTGCCTTTGAGGCAAGAGAGCGTATGGAAAGGTCGGTTTCCGACAAGCAGTTTCAAACTTCAGGTTTCTTTGGTGAACGAATGGAGAGATCAGTTTCCGACAAGAAGTTTCAAAACTCAGCCTCTTTTGGTGCTTCAAGATATCAAAATTCCCCTGGTACAAAATACTACTCTCATGGAACGGTATATAGTTGTTTTCGTTTATATCATCCCCTTTGGCTTAATTAACGCCTTCCTTTTCTTTTCGTCTCTCTTTTAAGGTACTGATGGTGAATCACCTCAAAGGTATACATCGAGATTAGAAAGGCATCGAAGAACAGCTGATCGTGTGGTAACTAATGCTTCTCATTACCCAATATACTCGGTATCCGAGTGAAATCCACACCGTTGATGTTAATTAATGTTCTGTCGTTTTGAATTTTCCCAACAGGCTAAAGCTTTAGAAGAGAAGAACATGCGTGATCTCGTGGCTCAGAGAGAACAAGCAGAGAGAATTGTAAATCCACCAAACCAAAACTCTTCTTCAAACTTATAAATAAAGCCTTCAACTGTTTTCAATAATCACGCTTTGTTTCTCTTTTTCCTACAGAGAATCGCTGAAACCTTAGACGCTGATGTAAAGAGATGGTCAAGTGGAAAAGAACGAAACATAAGAGCATTACTCTCAACATTACAATACGTAAGTCTCTTAATGAACAACATAGAGAGATCAACGTTAGAAAGTAAGAGTTAAATTCTCAAAACTGAGTTTGCTTTTTCTTTATTGTTGTGAAACCAGATCCTCGGTCCCGAGAGCGGTTGGCAACCATTACCGTTAACAGAAGTTATAACTTCAGCAGCTGTGAAACGAGCTTACAGGAAAGCCACACTTTGTGTTCATCCAGACAAATTACAGCAAAGAGGTGCAAACATTCACCAGAAATATATCTGCGAAAAGGTCTTCGATCTTCTTAAGGTAATTTCTATTACACACATATCTCATGTATTGTTGTAACACACTATACAAATTCTCTCAACATGAACATTGAATTGTGTTAATGTTTCTAAACTTACAGGAAGCTTGGAACAGATTCAACTCGGAAGAAAGATAGAGCAAACAAATATTTGTAAAGTGGTGCTTCTCGATTAGTCAAGAGTAAATATATCATGTGTTCAGTTAGTTCTTTTCTATGATTGTCTAATAACTAAAACCATTTTTACTTAACCGCTACTTTTCTCACGTGGATTTTAATATATCGTAAATTTTCCTGGCAATACAATTTTCTTCTCTGCAAATTATATCGATTAGCATTCTACAAACAAAACCGTTAAATTTAGTAGTGTTTATATGATTCTGACCAATTCCAAAAGAAGTGATCCAAAACCGAAAACTTCTGTTAACTAAACCGAAACTGAAATGAAACTAAACTTGTATCACATAATTCAAATCAACCTCCTAATCGATTTGTACATTGTTTACTGTGTCTTAGCAAATAGTGTTATTATTTATTAGTCAACAAATGTAAAATGACAATATGACAAGTACTCTTTCTTTCTGTTTGATTAGAAAATAGTTTCAAGAAACATATTTACCTCCATCATTATACTGTTATATTGAAAAATTGGATGATTTGTTAACAAACCTGTTATTCACTTATCTGAGCCACTTTGAACACAATTTGACCTATTTAGATTATAAATCTATCAATGTAAATTCGAAGCTACCTGATAATGACGAGGTCAAAGATTGCGTTGTGTACTCTGCAATTGTTATTTTCTTGTTTTATTTGGACAATGATTTTATCCTTTTATGTATAATTCACAAACAAATCATTAAATTTAATATTGTTTACACAATTCAAACCAATTCGAAAATATATGATCCAAAACCAAAAGTTTATGTTCTTTGGTTAACTATTTAAGTTTTGCTATCGATTTGGATATATTTTGTTGATTATTTTATTAAACCGAAAATTTAATATGATATAAATTTCGAAATAGTTTTAATCAAACATTAATGGAATCACTTAGTATCGATGAGCACATAAAACCAAACGAGACTGCTAAGAACGGAGGCAAATGAAGCCGCTAGAAATCCATAGCGATGTCAAAATCATCTTTGAATCGAAAGGAACAAGCAGAAAATCACTACCCATAGACTATTTTTGTGTTTGAGAGGTGAATCTATTAGGGTAAAAACTGCTAATGCTAAGATTTTTGTGCTCTCTTTCTTAACAACTAAAAAAATGTTGGTTATTCTAATAAACTAAAAAACTTATGAAATATGACATGAAATTCAAAACAGTTTTATTTATTAGTCAACAAGCGTAAAATGACTTACTCTTTGTATGCAAATACTTCATACTCAAATTAAATATAGTTTGGATCCACCAAAACTAGTACATCTTTCGGGAAAAAAACTATATGAATGTATGATAAAAAGCACTATACTTTTCTTTTTTTTTGTTTGACCAAAAAAAAATCACTATACATGTTATTCATATGGATGCATATGCAGTTCAGATCATATTAGATGATTATTTTAACAAAACGTTATTCATTTATTTGACCAACTTTGAACAATTACAACATGTTATTCATTTATTTGACCTACTTAGATGATAAATCTATTAATGAAATATAAACCGAATCTCTTTGATGATGATGAGTGTCAAGAATTGCGTTAGAATAGACATGAAAAGTCAATGAAGCTCCACGAACCCATCCTTTTTCTCGTCACTTTATTTTCATTGTTATTTTTCAGAATTAAAAAAACATAAAATTAATGGACTTTTCAAACGGGCAGCCAAAGTCTGACCATTCCCACTTTCAAATTTAATAAGATACAACCATAAAATCTCATCACATCTTCTTATATATAACAACATATTTTGATGAAGCTCTCTTTCATTACAACAAGAAGCAAACAACTACAACAAAATCATCTTTACACATCATCTTCTTATACTTCTCTATATTACAGTTAAGAAAAATATCAAAAATGCAAATGTTAAGAAGCTTTAGCACGAGGACAAGAAGCCGTCGTGGAGGCTATGAGCGAGTTAGTGATGATTCAACTTTCAGTTTACTCGGAGCAAAGCTAAGAAGATCAACAAGTGTTCCTTACTACGCTCCATCTATAAAGCTTGGTGTTGGTGGTGTTCCAACCATTCCTGAGGAGCTTCCTCGTCAGAAATCCAAGAAAATCAAACCAACAAGCAAATTTAGCCATCCGATTTTTAGCTTTTTATATGGAAAGAAGAAGAAGTCATCAACGACAAAACCTGAATTTTCTCGGTATCTTGAGTATTTGAAAGAAGGTGGTATGTGGGATGCGAGATCTAATACTCCTGTTATCTATTACAAGTAGATGTTGAATCTATGGAAAATAAAAATCAAAGTTTCTTTTTTTAAGTTTTTGTTTGATTCAAATGAGTTAATATCTTTATAATTTGTGATGATATTTGTATATTTTTAATTTATAATTATCGATTCATTAATTTGCTTATGAGAACAAAACTCTTTGGAATATAAAAATGTATGTTTTTGATAGCATTCTCTATTCTGATATGATTATAAATTTCAAAGCAAACATTAGACGAATAAAAAAGTCAAAGGTCAGCAGTAGCAGTATTGGTTTGACTATCGAAAAGTCAAATGTTAGACGGTATTGGTTTGACGGCATGTCCAGAAACGGTGATGAACTAATGAATGCATATGCAGTTCAGATCATATTTATACATATAATATTGTGATGTAGTAAATTATTTCACGACACTTGATCAAAATTGAAGTTTTGAGCTTGGTTCTACTATATCAGTCTCTGTGGTCATGTCACATTTTGGAAATCGCAGCTTCAATTTTGAGCATATTTGATTTGGAGGTAGTTGGAGATTTCAAAGCATAACAGGTCAACGGTCACACAGTATTAGCATATCCAGACCGAAATTGTACGGTTCTAAAAGTCTGAATAGCGAACCTCCCGTTTGGTTACGTGGAACTCAAGGGAGGTTTTTCTTCCTCGTCATATTTAGTTTCCGAGAAAGTTTCGGTTTCTCCGGTAAGAGAATTAGAAGCTCGAGGTAAATGTTCTTTTGCAGTTTGATTGATTCTAGTCACATGGAAAATGGTACATCAAGTGGAAATGAACAATGATTCCCAATGGATTTACTTCTGTTTCCCTTAATATTTTTGGTTTTGGTTATCATAATCTCCAAAATTTGCTACATTTATATAGGTTTCATTTCAATGTCTCAGATCTTCCTTTTCAGGACAAGAACAAATGTAATGGTTCTTATGTCTTCCTTAGCCAACTCCTCTTCGATCATTCTACCATAAGTATCAAACAGCTTGTCAAGAATCTCTTCCCCAAAGTGCTGAGCAAGCATTGATTCTTGAACCGCTCTTACTGTCTTTGCAACCGCCTTACCGTAAGTGATACTTTTCTCCTTGTCCACTTGTAACATCTCTAACCTCTCTAACTCGAAAGACCCTTCTTTCTTCACTTCGCCTTCTATCTCAGCACCACTCGGTGCGTAAAAGTGCATCTCGTATGAATCAAGCTTCTCTTCCTCAGTTTCTCCCTAGAGGTAGATACAAACAAGAACATACAGTTTTAAATCAAGATCCATCTTTGTGAAACCAACAAAGATGTATTACATACCTGTGCTACAAGATCCGCTATGGATCTAGCGAGAAGCTCCCAGAAGAAAGAGTTTCCTCTGTCAACATGATCAGGACCTTCTCTTCCGAGTATTATGAGCACCATTCTGCCTGAAGCAACCAGCTCTTCTGATCTGTGCCGGAGGAAAATGGAGAAATCTTCTTTGAATTGACTGTAGTAAGCTTTGGAAACAGCTTCAGGGCTCGAGGAGCAGATATTAACACAACCTTTGTTTATGGACTTGCCTTGATCGTCATATATAGCCGGAGGAATCTGCAAAGACAAAAAACAAACTCGTACACCTCAAGGTATCTATCTCTCTTTCTAAATATGTAGATATTCACTCACCTTGGAAAGCCAGTGTAAGCTGTAAGAGGAATAAATAAAGTGGATGGTTCTTTCAGGGAAGAGCCTTCCATAGAATGATCCAGGGTAGGCTGCGATGAAAACTGAAGGGCAATCACCATTAATGTTGGTATCTCTCTTGAGCTCTGTGTGAAAGTCAGGCAAGGACTTGAATATGGAGTTGAAGTCATTTCCGGGGAGATCGTTAAGCAAGAAGCTGAATTCCGGCAAAGGATGGCTTGTGATCTCCTGGCGGTGAGCAGATTCGACGGCTTTGATCATGTCTCTAATGGTGGAGAGAGTGTTTGGCCCTGAAGAACATCCAAGGTCAGCTATTCCTAAACTCTTGGGTCTTGTCTCCTTGTAGAGTTGTTGCAGTGTCTCTAGTGTTATGTGTCTTGCCTCATCAGATGCTTTCTTCTGCAAAGATTAAAAACAAAAGTAATACAAATAATTTGAGAGAGTCAAAGATTTATGAATTTGGTGAAGATATGTCAAAATCTCAAAAACCTGGAGGGAAGAGTTTCTAGCATAGCTAGTTCTCCCAACTCCTCCTGTCATGTGAAACTCTCTTTCGAAATCTTTCTTATCCATCATAATGAGAGGGATAAATTCTCACTAATTTTTTGGGTTAGGGTTTTTTCTTTTGGTGTTAGGATTTGCTTTGCTCAAAAGAATAGTCTTTGGCCTGTCACTTCAATCTTCCATTACCACTTCTTCTTCTTTTTTGCTGTTTTGCGTTTTGGGTTTTTCCATAAACTCTTTATATTCTTTACTTTATTCTACTGTTTGGGATTCTTTCATCATTGTTCATGATTCAACAAATAGAAATTTAGATGATAAATTTTTCTTTGGGTGGGTGAATTCAGTTTATAAGGAGAAATGGTAGGTGTACTCCAAAGTGATCAGAATTAGGAAAGAAAAATAAAATATAAAGGATAATATAAAGAACAAAAAAGCAGAAAATTATTTTAACTACATCATGATGGCTTCATGTTATGTTTGTACTTTCTTTACTCTGTTCTTGCTATCAGTGCTAGGCTCTGTTGCCATTTACTCAAGGACTTGTCGTTGAACCTAATTAAACTAAGTGTTTTCTTAGACTCTCGCTAGAATCTATTGGGTATTGACATCATGGTCTCTCAAATGCTGAAATCAATATATATATATATATATATATATATTTGAAATATGGTTGAACAGACTAGGAAATAATATGTATAGAGTGTAATGTAAATGGAACAAAACATTATAGAAAAGTAGGGAAAACTTTGGGACAGAGTATGATTAAGGAGGAAAAAGATAGATTGACTTTAAAAGGTAGAAAGCTTAACAAAGAATGGGAGATCATGATAGGTGTTGTGTGTGACCACCATTTTTCATTTCTGTCTCTCTTTTCCTTACCTTTAGGCTTTAATTAGTACTCGTTCACACACTCTCTCTCTCTCTCTCGCTCTCTCGCTTCCTTGCCTTTAGGCTTTTAGTATTGTTTCTTTCTCTTTCTCTTCTCTCTTCCTTACCTTTAAGACTTTAGTGGTGGTGGAAATGCTTGTTGAATCATGAGTATAGTGTATTAAGCTTTGTTGAGAGAGAGAGAGAGAGATGGGTTATAGCTTTTGGTGCGATATGGGTTTGTGTTTAGAGGGGCACGCACGCGTGTCACTAGAGGGATTCATGCAAAGCTGTAACGTATCAATTTTCTTTTGTGGTTGGACTTTTTATAAATATGATCACCTCTTCTTCTTCAACCATGATCTTCTTTCTCTGTCGTGGCTTACGTCTTATTTTCGTTTCTTTTTTTTGGATGAAATGATATAATCTCTTTGGCTACTTTCTTGTTAGATGTAGAGATTGGTTGTTGATTGATTATATCCGAATTGCATTTTTGCAGATTTTAAACTTAGTCACACACTATACGAAGGTTGGTTGATTCTCTGAAATCCAACTTTGTTGGTAGGCTTGTTGTTATATTCGGTGGACCAAAAAGTAGACCGTAAAGTTGTGGAATTTGGTAAAAGTCTTAGAAATAAATTGGTGCTTAGAAATGACATGCAAGTTATTTCACTACAAGAGATTAGTTTACTACAGAAAAGAGAAAGATATATTAAAAAAAAAAAAAAGATCGAATATATGAGTGGTCTCTCTATATGATAGAGCGAGTATACCAAAAACATAGTGATCAAACATTTTATAGGAAATGCCATTTGTTATATCGACATTTTAAACTGCAAAGAATTGGTAGGAGCCTAACCGGATAAATTTGAACCTCCTTCAGTTCGAATTTAGGATGTTTTGAGATAAAGTAGTGATTAGCTGATGTTTTACGCCTAAATTCTCGATTCCTAGACATCAAATTTGAAAAGATACACGTCGAAGAAACTGATTTGTTGCCGAATTTTGTTTTTATTCCTAAAAAACCAGCTTTAAAATTTAAATATATAGCTCCTCCCGGATCTCTCGGTTCGGTTAAAAGTAAAGAGACTTACCTCCGCAGTTAAAAGTTTCCCACAGCACAATAGCGTAACTGAAGACATCTGCCCTATGATCATAAGGTTTGTGCTCAATGACCTGAGTTCAGAAATTGTATTGTCAAAGTAGAGACATAAGGAAACTGATCAATTCAAGCATTAACAAATGAGCTTCTACAGCTGAATGTCATGTTTAAAACTACATGTCATCTCAAATAGGACCAACTGTGTGTAGGTTCAGCCATGGGACATTACAATGCTTAGCATAGAAATAGCCAAAACTCCCTATAGACATGTCATAAGTCTCATAAACTCCAAAATCCTGGAAAGCAAAAACAAGATGTACGAAAGCAGTCATACCTCTGGAGCCATCCATCGGTAAGTCCCTGTTTCAGCTGTCATGACCCCTGACTGAAATGTATCGAGAATTACAAAGCAAATAACATACAAGAGCCTCATTGTCGTGCTGAGAAAACTTCAGATACAATCAAGATGAAAGGACTCTCTGATTCAGAATCTGCTGAGAACTTACCCGTCACAATGCAGAGGTTTGGAGATCGTGTGCATGCTCCGATAAAACGGACAACATTTTTATAGCGTACTGAAACTACAAGCAAGAATATATCAGTAACAACTAACAACCGTCCCCAAAGAACAATTAGCATCTGGAATATTCATGTTAGAGATTTTTGACTGAGAACACCGAACATAAACTTTACTTAATTCCGACATTAGTGAACAGAACTTAAAGACTCAAGGATCATGTTAGAGATGATTGAAGCAAGAGATCATTCAACAGGATGGATATTGCTTCTGGTTGCCAAGTGCATACCGTTCCTTCCAGCGCTAGCAAATCTGTGTCCGCATGGGCTGATATTGACGCCAAAGCATATGGTGTAGGAACATTTGCAGCAGGCAGAGAACACCGTAAGTTGCAGTAGCTCTGTCTTTCCCAAACTGCAAGATGTAATGTCTGCATAATTAGGATATTAAGAAATGTCTTCATTTTTCAAAACGCTTCATTTCCTATGGTTAAAGCGAAATGAAGCAAAAGTAATTGAAAGGAGTCTAAGCTAACCTGTCGTTCCGGGATTAACTCTTGTAGCTGAGACAGTGAGCATTGCAGCCCATGGAAACGAATTGAACAAAGTCCTCACAAAACAAAAACGAAAACATAGTCAGATGATTCTTAAGCAGACAGATATGAGTAAACGAAAGTTTAACATCTAACTGAATCGAGAATCTGAGTGTTTAAAACTGACAGAAGAGTAAAAAGACAAAAAAAAACTTGTGACACCTCTAACGATCTGAAAAGACAGGATGCACATGTCTAATTTGTTTTCACAGTTGCAGTTTTTGAACACTTCGATTCTCTGATTCATCTAACAACCTAAAATTTAAATCGTAAGTGATCTGAGTAACAACAATAGCAACATTACCTCTTTCTGAGCCTCTCCTCCTAGTCGAATATTCAGCCATAACAGCTTCAGAGATAAGCGTGTGGCTATAGAATCAGAATTTCTTCCTGGAGGAAACGAATGGTTGGATTTGGATTTAAGAATCTCTCTCTTCTTTGCTTCTCATGACTTTTAATGTTAACTGGACAATAAATACACCAAACATAAACAAAGGGAACACATCTACGATAAAATCTATGTTTCAGCAAATCAGAACACAATCAGAAGCCAGCAATTCGTAACTAAAATCCAGAAATAAATAACACTAACAATAACCTATAATTCTCAGAACTGGACCACATTTCTAAACAAACAGCAAAGCAATTTTTTCAGGGAACAAGCTAGAATTTCAAAACCACGTTGGAAGAAAAATGATTTCAAAGCACAAAGAAACATGATTTCGGAAAACTCGAGAACATTTCAAAGAAGCCATAAATCAAAGTGTAACGTGTCGATGGAATGGGTTAGGAACAGTAGCGCTTCATATTCAAGTTTCAAACAAGTCGCTAAAATCTAAAATTCTGAAAGAACATGAAAAAAATTGATAAAAGAAGGAATCGGGTAATTGGGGGTTACCGATAGGAACAAATTAGTGCGGACATATCGATCTGGTGACGGAGACTGACAGTTGCGGCTGCGGATTCCGACGGAGACGCTTTCCTTCGCGATCGGAGGCCGACGAAGACGCTTTCCTTCGCGATCGGAAACCGGTTTTGTCAACGTTAGCTTCGTGTGGTCCCAACGCAACGGTCAGATTTGTTTACGGACTTCTTTGAGCGGAAACCGGTTTTGTCAACGTTCGCTTCGTGTGGTCCCAACGGTCAGATTTTTTTACGGACTTCTTTTGGTGAGATTTGGTTAATTTATGTAGCCGTCTGGTTACAATGTTATTGCACAATGAAATATTGGGCCTGTATATCTTAATGGATACTTCTGGGCCCATAAATTTGCTGGCAACATGGAGAGATCCGCCCGCCAGCAAATTTGCTCATCTTCTTCTCTTCCAATTTTTTTCAATTTCCTTTATAATACGATCTCTGCAATTGTTTGTTTTTTTTTTTTTTTTACTTTTCCTGTTTGCGTAATCTTCTAAATTGCTTAGAAACGTTGAAAGTCAAACTTGCATCTGCGAATTTTGAAAAACACTCCTCGTGTGTTTGACACTCTTTTGGACACGTTCTCTTCTGCTCCTTCGATTTCCCCCAAATCAATTGAGATCAGGTTACATTCCTTGATTTGTGCCGGATCCATTCATAATCATTTAGTTTCCTAATCTGTTTTCTTCTTCCCGATCCCTGAAACTGATATTTTTTCTTTGCGATTTTACGCGGGGGTATTGAACTTTTCTCCTTCGTAAGTGACCTGATAACAGATCTTTGCTGATTCGGTTCCTTTTTTTTTTGGTGATAAAATTGGATTCGAATAGCCATTTTTGTTGTATACTGATCTGAATTGTGAAAATTGCATTCTGATTTGATCATTGGACATGGTTATGTAGGTTGTCCGAAAGTTGAACTCGCTGCACATTGCTCGATCCGTCGAGCAAATATTTCTAGAAGGAAAAAAAATACAGAGCTTTTTTTTTATTAGCAATGGATACGAATCTCGTGGAAATGTTTAACGCCGCTTTAGATTGGGTGAAAATGATTCTGGATGCTCCTTCAGCTAGAGTTGTTTTGTTCGGCGTCCCAATCCAAGGTAGGTTTTTTTAGTGAACTTTTGTCTTTTCAAGTTCTTGGGAGGATATGGAGATTATTACTAAAGATTTAAACTTTTTGTTGTCCAAGGGCACATCTTTGTGGAAGTAGTGTTGGGTTTTGTCATTGTCATCCTCCTCTCTCAGAAGAGCTACAAACCCCCCAAGCGACCATTAACCGAGCAGGTTCTTTCTCCATCCGTTTTATCATGTCCTTTTGGTTTTAGATCATAGGGTTTGCTTCTTGTAACATATTTGACTAGTTTTGGGAATGTTTCTTCTACTCAGGAAATAGATGAGTTGTGTGATGAATGGGTCCCTGAACCACTTATACCGCCGATTACAGAGGACATGAGGCACGAGCCACCAGTTCTTGAAAGGTGTGGTTTTGAAAACTTCTTTGTATTATGTCTCATTGCCTTTTTAGCGGTTATGCTTATCGATTTTGTTTGGGTCCATGTAGTGCTGCTGGACCGCATACAACGGTTAATGGAGTAGACGTGGTGAATTTTGCGTCAGCTAATTACCTTGGACTCATTGGACACGAGAAGTTGCTGGTAACGTGAAGCTACTTCTTTGTATTCAATACGGTTTCTTCTCTCTCTGTGAACAGTTGTACTTAAGATATGTCTACGGCAGGAATCATGTACTTCTGCGTTGGAAAAATATGGAGTCGGTTCTTGTGGCCCTCGTGGGTTCTATGGCACTATTGGTAAGAATTCGAGAAGGGAACATTTTTTTTTGGAAGGGCTCATTTTATTTCCCTGTGTCAGCTTGCTTCAAAAGGATTTCTTACTGTTTGATACTTCTGTTGACTAGATGTCCACCTTGATTGCGAAACCAGAATATCAAAATTTTTGGGTACTCCTGATACAATCCTCTATTCTTATGGACTTTCCACGATGTTCAGCACCATTCCCTGTTTCTGTAAAAAAGGCGATATCATTGTTGCGTAAGTACACACAACTGAACTTCTTTGTCTACACGTCTCATGTCTCTTTTAATCTCAACATTGGGCTCATTCTTGTCTTTTTTACTATTTCTTTTAGCGACGAGGGTGTTCACTGGGGAATACAAAATGGACTTCAGCTTTCCAGAAGTACGATCGTGTACTTCAAGCACAATGACATGGACTCCCTTCGTAGTACCCTCGAGAAAATCATGACAAAGAACAAGCGCTCGAAGAACTTGAGGCGTTACATTGTAGCTGAAGCTGTATATCAGGTATTGTAAACAGCTCTTCTGTTTTAATTTTGTTGCTTCCACGTTCGAAAACTCACCTTGAACTGTGACGCTTTGACATTTTGCTTCTGTTAAAATCTGCAGAACTCTGGCCAAATCGCCCCTTTGGATGAGATAGTGAAACTAAAAGAGAAGTATCGGTTTCGTGTTATATTGGATGAAAGCAACTCTTTTGGTGTGCTTGGCAGTTCTGGGAGAGGTCTTGCAGAGCATCACGGTGTCCCTGTGCGTATGAATGACACACATTCTAGTAGACCTACCATTTGCTATATCATATGCTGATGATTTTGTTGTGAACAGATTGAGAAAATAGATGTTGTGACTGCTGCAATGGGCCACGCATTAGCTACAGAGGGTGGATTTTGCACTGGTAATGCCCGCATCATCGATTACCAGGTAAACCATGATCAAGCTGATGAACTCATTTTCAAATAAAAATGGAAAAATATCGATAAAAGAAACTTGACACTCCTTGGCACTGTCGAATGCACAGAGACTTAGCAGTTCAGGGTATGTGTTCTCTGCTTCTTTGCCACCGTACCTTGCAAGCGCTGCTATAACCGCCATCGATGTCATTGATCAGAACCCTGATATGTTAGTTAAGCTGAAGCAAAACATTGCTCTGTTATGGAAAGGTTTGATCTAACATTCTGATTTCGATTTATTCGGCAACAACAAAGTTTTCTCTTTTTTTTTTGTTTTTTCTGAACGTAAACGTTGGGAACACACACACACGCAGGATTGTCTGATATCAAGGGGATGTCGCTAGCAAGCAACCCGGAATCACCCATCGTTTTCTTAAAGTTAGAGAAATCGAGTGGTTCAACAAAAGACGACTTGCTTCTACTGGAGAAAATGGCTGATCGTGTAAGTAACATTGTTTCTTTGCGAAAACCCGAATCTAAACCCTTCTCCGTCCCGGTTTGTTGACATGAACTGGATTCATGCAGGCTCTGAAGGAAGACTCGTTGTTGGTTGTGAGTTCTAAAAGATCGTTTCTTGATAAATGTCGGCTACCAGTGGGGATCAAACTGTTCGTTTCAGCGGGACACTCAGATTCTGATCTTCTTAAAGTATCCGAGTCACTGAAGAGACTCGCTTCAGAGCTTCTACTCGAGTCCTGAAACACCAAACTCATCCAAAGAGAGGGAGAAAGTGGTCTTTAATTTTCATCAAGAGCACCTAATGAATTCTTTCAACTTTTGAAGACTCAATAGCAGTTTGTAGACTCAAAAGCATTAATTTATGAAAAATTTCCAAATCTTTTCGTTTGATCATTTGAGTCTCTTTTCTTTCTTCCTTTTTCTACTTGAAACTTAATGATCAGATTGTTCAAATGCAGTCGCAGAAGTTCTTCTAGACGTTTTAATATATCTTTATACTTATAAAGCACAAGTCAATTAACAATTGTGAGTTTGACATGTATTATTTTTAATTTTATTTTTACATTTTAATTTTTTTTTAATTAATTATGATTTTCTCAACTTTCATCTAGCAAAACCACCACAATCTCTGCAATTTCAAAATAAAAAATCACCATATTTCTTCTATCGGATGATAAATGGTAAAAAAAAAAAAAAAAACAACTCAATTCATTTTACTATTCTTCTTCTTGCTGTAGAAAATACAAAAAGTTTTATAATTTTTTTTTTCCAAACCAATAAATTAGCCTACTAAACTTTTCAATAAAATTACGATTGATTATTTTCCTTAAATTGGGTAAAGCATAGAAATAGTGGCCTAAACGATCAGAACTTCTCAAATGCTCGACTAAATGGTAACAAACTCATCTAAACTTTATAATTCAAACAAAATAACTTTTCAGTAAAGTAAATATTTCACACATTTGATTAATCTTTAAAATTATGTTTTTCCAGTACGGGACAAATATAGAGGAAACAAAACAAAATTATGCGATAAGACAGCGTGTAGGGCTTGTGTGTTTCTTGCAGCAAAAGAAAGTTGTTTGCATGCCATTTACCTCCTTTCTCAATCCGTAGTTGACACGTCTCAGACAAAAGCGCGTGTGCGCATCATATAATCTCTTCCCTCTGGTTTGTAATAAGAAGCATGGCCAAACAAAAAACTGTGACCAAAAAAGGAAACAGAGCAGATTAATGGAGTAAACTTAGTCCAAAACAATATTATCTCATTTATTTGTTTGCACTTGGCCACTCCCATCTCTTAAAATCGATCCTAGACCTAATCGAACCTGCACTGCGTCTATTTCCGATCTACTTCACTTTTGATTAAAACCTAGAAATCATCATATCGTTCCTCTGCAAGGGACAAACACACACAAAGATACATTCCAATACATGAATTGACGGGCTGAGCTCGTGATGCTTGGCCCTGCAATATAAACAAGTCCCTTCTGCATTTGTAGCCTCAGCCGCTGGGATACTCAAGATTACAGTCAACGCCTCAGCCGCTGGGAACACAAGTAACGTACACGTTTGCTTCCACAGGTGAGAGACGAGTCTTTCTTTCTCGTCCAAATCAATGTTTGATATATATAACATTCTGTTTGATTCTTTATGTATCTTTGTGTGTGTAGGAACTCGTCCCTTGCAGTTGGAATGTGCGCTGATTATGAATGGGAGGAAGTCACTGATGGTTTATGGACTGCGACAATGTCACCATTCGACCACAAACTCCTTGATGTAAGAGTAGCCAACTCATCATCTAATGTCACTGACGGTTTATGGAATGCGACAATGTCACCATTCGGCCACAAACTCCTTGATGTAAGAGTAGCCAACTCATCTAATGTCACTGATGGTTTATGGAATGCGACAATGTCACCATTCGGCCACAAACTCCTTGATGTAAGAGTAGCCAACTCATCATCCAATGTCACTCTACAAGTGTCTACCTTAGAAGGTTAGTTAGATTCTTGTTTGGTTCCTTTCCTTATTGGTTTAATTGCTTTGTAAATTGTGTATGGAATCCGTTTATATGCTTTGCAGGATCGTGTATGTATCGCATTTACTACTTAATCGTTGGTACCGTTTTGATGACGTGGGCTTCTACACTGAGTACATCATATGCTTTTTACTTCGCTTGTTGTTTCTCCGTTGGTGGTGTACTTTTTATCCTGCTTCTCCTCTTTCAGGTAACGTCCATCTTCAATCCCTTCTTTTCTTTTTCTTTTCTCTATCGTATTAAAGATTCTGCTTTTGATAGCTGATGATGTGTGTACTTACAGGGAATTAAGCGTCTACCAACTCGACCCAGTTTCTCGGCATTGTTCCTATATGCATCTTTGGTGATTTGTTGTGTTTTTTTCTTCCCTTTTTTTTTTTTTTTTTTGTCTAAACCATTATCTCCCATTATCCCAACACTCACAAGATTTTTGTTTTTGTTTTTTTGTCAGCTTGCTCTAACTTATGTTAGTCTTCCATACATACCCGGTTTCTTTCAAGGAGTCGACGAATTTGTACGTACTTTTTTTGTTAGTGGCAGTATTTTTACTTTGCAGCTTATGTTACCCTAGGCTCATATTAACCGCATATTTTGGTTCCGCAGGAGTTTCTGCACCTATTTGGTGTATTACAAATGGTTGGAGTACCGTTTGCACTCCTGGCTCTCAATACACAACTTCTTCTTGCTCCAGATGACTCCATCGACATGAGCACTTCACTCTTTATCTCTTGGTCCCTCAGGATATTGGCTGCCCTTTTGATTCTTCAGGTTCTTTTGAATCCAGTCTCCAGTTTCCAGTTGAAAGTCCAACTTTATAACACAATATAAAACACTCTTGTGCTGTTTCCAGGGCTCGGGAGATGCTTTGCTTGGTGGAGGAGCAGTGGTATTTGTAATTGCTATGTCACCAGTGTCAAGGAAGATCACCGCACTGATTTTCCCACCACGCGCACGCGAGTGAGTTACTTGATTTGGCTAATATTACGCGTCTCTATATCTATATCCCTGATTTTGAACGCAAAAGTTGGCTTCTTTTTCGCAGGTTTCTCGTGTATCTAGTGCTACAAATGCAGAAGGGACTTGTTTATGTTGCAGGACCATCCCTCACGATCGTAGCCGGTAAATGCATGTTTTATAGAGGTTGGTTTTGTGATCTCTCTCCAACCTTTACTCTAAATTATAATATCTTCCCACTTGAAACCAAAGTTTAATGTTGTTTCTTTTTTTTCAGCAAAGAGGATAGCGTAAGCAATGAGCATTGACCAAGGTGTCATTGTGTGTAGACAGTGCAAGATCTTAAATGGGGTTGTACGTACCCCTTTTTTATTTTATTTTTTATGATTTGAGTCTCCGAATATGGATGGATATTAATATATTTGTAGTGGGAGGATCTGTATTGTCCCGGTTATTTTTTTATTTATTTTAAAGGAGTTTACTATAAAAGAATACAAGTACAGTAATTTGCAATTTCTTGGTCTAATTCTAATATAATCGATAGTTGACACGTGTCATTCTAAATCACGCGTGCGCATCATATAATGGAAGTGCGTGAGACAGGAGATAACATGTCTCTTCCTTCTGTTTTGTAATTAGAAGAAACATAACCAAAAAAAAAAAACTGTGACCAAAAAAAGGAAGAAGAACAGAATAATGGGAGGAGAAGAGATTAATGGTTGGGGGAAAGAGGAGAAAACCAGAGGTGGAGATTTTAATAGAGCCTTGAGAGATTTTCGGAACGATTTTAATCTCCTTTTTATCTTTCTCCATCCTCTCATTTCCTCTTTGCAGAGGTAATTTTTTCTTTTCTTCTTCCATTTTTCTATCCATCGTCGGCAATATGTGAGACGGAATTCGAAACGTTAAAATCTGTGTTAATTGAATTTGGTGGCTTTTTATCGAAATGGGGATTTTCAGTTTACATTTTGGGATTAGATTCTCTTTCATTCCCCTTTTCTCCAGTTTGAGCTGAATTGAATTGAGATTCTCGAATTTTCTTGTTCATCGTTTGTAATTTGATGGATGTGTGATATTTGCAGGAATATTGGCAAAGGGCATTGATTAAATTAATAAAGACACTCTGGTAAGAGTGCTCCTCCCTCGTGCCCTTTTCTGCCTATTCCATCTATCTGGCAATATATCATGTCTTTGATCCAAGGTAAGCAATCAAAGACACTTTGTTGCTATCATCTTCTTGTTCTTGTCTTGATGTTGTGTGACCTTTTTAGATGCCGTGGAGAAACCAAGGATGGGGTCTTTCAAGAAGAGGAGCTCCTCCAAGAACCTGAGGTACTCCATGACCAAGAGAAGGAGAAGTAGCAAAGTGATGTCCGTGGAGATCGAAGACGTGCACGACGCCGAGGAGATGAAAGCCGTTGACGCCTTCCGCCAGGCGCTCATCCTCGACGAGCTGCTCCCGGAGAAACACGATGACTACCACATGATGCTCAGATTTTTGAAGGCTAGAAAATTCGATCTCGACAAAACCAAACTGATGTGGACCGAAATGCTTCGATGGAGGAAGGAGTTTGGTGCTGACACTGTCGTGGAGGTAGTATTCTTGTCGTTATTACTAGGAGCTTTCCAGATTTGGAAGGAGTTTGGTGCTAACACTTTGATGTTTTTTTTGGTATACCTTAAAAAAGGAGTTTGATTTCAAGGAAATTGATGAAGTGTTGAAGTACTACCCTCAAGGGCATCACGGAGTTGACAAGGAAGGACGACCTGTGTACATTGAGAGGCTTGGTCTAGTGGACTCCACCAAGTTGATGCAAGTCACCACCATGGATAGGTATGTCAACTACCATGTCATGGAGTTTGAGAGGACCTTCAACGTTAAGTTCCCTGCGTGCTCCATCGCAGCAAACAAGCACGTTGATCAAAGCACAACTATTCTTGATGTCCAAGGAGTGGTATGTTCACGAAAAAAACCTTTTAACACGTATTAAGCCATGTCTCTGCTTTTTCTACTCATAGAATCTCTCGTGCTCTTCTTCTTGGGTATAACAGGGACTCAAGAACTTCAACAAGGCTGCTAGGGACTTGATCACTCGTCTTCAAAAGGTGGACGGTGACAACTATCCCGAGGTGAGGTTCATAAATCTTAGTCTTGATTATCTTCCTTTTTGTCTACGAGGTAGACATTTAAAGTCCTTTTGGCTCAGACCTTGAACAGGATGTTTATCATCAACGCTGGCTCAGGATTCAGAATGTTGTGGAACACGGTTAAGTCTTTCCTTGACCCAAAGACTACAGCAAAGATCCATGCAAGTATTCAAACCTTTTCCTGTTTAGTTTTTTTCCTGAATGAAGATAGTGTTAAGTAATTAGCTATGTTTTTGTTGAATACCAGGTTCTTGGCAACAAGTACCAAAGCAAGCTGCTTGAGATAATTGATGAAAGGTGAGCCATTTCGATATTCCATTGCAAGTTAATAATCTATGCTACTGAAGACCGAGTTCCTAAAATCTCAATTTGTATCAGTGAACTCCCTGAGTTTCTTGGAGGTTCCTGTACTTGTGCTGACAATGGGGGTTGTATGCGCTCTGACAAAGGCCCCTGGAACAATCCTGAGGTCATGAAGGTGAGTTTACTCATCTTTTCTTCTTCTGATAAGTTCTTGCTACAACTAAAGCGGCAGCAACATTTTATGATTGTGCATTTTCCACTTGCAGAGGGTTAACAATGGTGATCACAAATGCTCAAAGAGATCCCAAGCTGAAAAATGCGCAGAGCAGACCATCTCTGAGGTCTAGTTTACCTATATGCCTGAATAGTACTGAATCCTTGGAATGTCAGATAAACTAATAATTCAATGATCTTCCAGGGAAATGAATATACAACAGAGCCGGCTCCTGAAGAGGAAAAGGCTTCGTCACAGCTCTCTCCCTGTGAAATTGTAAGAATGACTAACCTCTAAATTTCACCTGATTTGATTTGATTTTCTCCTTATTCCTCTCTCGTAACTCAGGTCCCGATTGCTCACCCAGCCTGGAACATGCCTGAAGCTAAATTTTCCCTCTCGAAAAGTATGACCTTAATTTCTTTACAAGCCGTGTGGCATACATATGACCTTAACGCTTCACGTTTGTTCTTCTTCTGAGCAGAGGAAGTTTATGCGATTCAAGAGGCGTGCAACAACGCTACCACTGACGGAGGGAGGTCTCCCATCTTCACGGGCGTCATGGCTCTTGTGATGGGTGTTGTAACCATGATCAGGGTGACTAAAAACGTGCCCAGGAAGCTAACCGAGTCAACCTTATACTCAAGCCCCGTGTACTGCGACGATGCCTCGATGAACAAGAGCGCGATGCAGTCAGAGAAAATGACCGTGCCGGCGATCTCAGGCGAAGATTTCATGGCCATCATGAAACGAATGGCCGAGCTGGAGCAGAAAGTGACCGTCTTGAGCGCTCAGCCGACGACTATGCCTCCGGAAAAGGAAGAGATGCTTAACGCTGCCATAAGCCGGTCCAATGTGTTGGAGCAAGAGCTTGCCGCAACCAAGAAGGCCTTGGAGGATTCTCTTGGTCGTCAGGAGGAGCTCGTTGCATACATCGAGAAAAAGAAGAAGAAGAAGAAGCTCGTAAGTCTTATAACTTGATTTTATGTTTAGACTTGGAACACAAGCCATCGAGTGCTGTGAATGCTTTCTAACTGTGTCTTTGGTTCTGTTTCTTGTCCTTTACAGTTCAACTACTGGTGAGAGAAGAAATATGAAGAGAGCCTCTTGAGGAACTAACGGATTTATGGTTGACTGATAATGCTCTTTGTTTGTATCCAAAGGTCTAAAATCATCACCGCCAATCTAATTGTAAAATCAATTTCTTGTTTATATTATTAAAGAGATTTGACAAGAAAGAGAGTGTTTTGTTCTTTCTCTGTGTACATTATATAGTTTCTTATAAATACATGTACATCAAATTGCAGTTTTCGTTATTTCATACGGACTGTATTAGTTTCATTATCTCAACGAGATTTTCTAGAGTGTCTGACTTCACGCGCTTTGTTCTCTCTCTAGTACGCATCAACCGTTTTCTTCTTGAACGCTTCTTCCTCTTCCTCTGTCCACTGCAGATCCATGTTGAGAAGAAAACAGAGTTCAATAATATCACAGGTTAAGGGAATGCAAAATATAATAAGAGCAAGTAAAGATTAGATAGAGAAACTCTTACATGTTAGAAAGAACACAACAAAAACACTATAATTACCATAAAACCTGTGATGTTCTGGAGGAAAAAAAGAGGAATCATACGTTGAGAACATAATTCGATGAACTGAGCTCCTTTTAGTGCAGATTCATTGAACAGTATCCCATTGTTCCCAATGATTCCTACTGTCTGGCCGTAAATTCTAGCAAAACCTGTCACTAGCGTCTGCCAAAAAAGCAAGTTCCATCGAGAAGCCATAATTTGAAAGAAATTATAATTTGAAAGAAATTATAAGTCTAAGAAGAAGAAGCTAATAACGTTCTCTCACAGTGCCGTATTTAGTACATAAGATACATAAGACCTATCCTTACTATCATCAGCTTTAAACACAAAAGACTAGTTACATGATACTCAAGAGGAAAACTTTCCATCCATTTTTTTTTGTTGTTGTTGAGAGCAAGCAAGCCGACACTAAGACCATGTTCAACTGGAAAAAAATTTACAAAAGGTTCTTACACATATTATACTAATATAATTTAATTATAATATTAATTTTTAAATATAAAAAATAATTGAACTAATTATATAATACTACACTTTTAAAGTATTTTAGTGCCGTTAGAAATGATTTTTTAATTTTTTAAATAAAAGCTGCATCTAACTTTCTTTTCATTTTTTACAGTTTTAATATTTTTTTATGTTTAAAAATTCACTTTAAATAACTTGTTGTGGGTGCTCTAAACTGACATCCCTACCCTTACCCTTACCCTACCGTAAAAATCCTAACATACATCTACTCCTAACTTAACCCAACATAGGAAGGATTTGTACCAAGCCAAGATAAGAGTAGCTATAACCAGAAGTGGCAATAGATCATACACCAATTTGTGAGGAATCATTGTACCAGTTGTTTAAGAAGAAGAAATTGCGAGCTGCTGTGATCCCAAACTCGATTGTTTCCCATATTTCGAGAAGGGCAACTTAGGTTTATCGAGAGCAACTTTTGTACAAAATACTTATATAATTTTTGCAATCATTTAGCATAATGAATCAGATATTCAAAGGAATAATACATTTGAGATGCTTTATTACCATCCTCAAGCTTAAGTCAATAATAGTTTGTTAGAGAATGGAAAATATAGTAAGTAAAATCATTTCTCTAACATTTGTTTACAATTAGTTTTGCATTTAGAGTTATATTCATCCACCATGTCTTTTGTTTGTTTAGGAGGACTGTTGTTATTCAAATGTTTATTTCTTTTCAAAATGTTAGTCTATGTTTCAGTTTTGACTTTGGTGTGTTCCAAATTTGAAAGTCAGCTTTAACTGAATAGTTAACTTCTTAATTATGTAAGCTTTTGTGTGAGCAAATACTATTTTTGATAAATGAATTTTTAATTGAAAACTAATGGGGAACTATATTAAAATATTTCCTAATAAAAGTTTCTTAATTTGATAAAACTAACTCACAAATTTATCTTAGCATAAAGCAGAATAACACAACATTAAACTTGAAATGACAGAATGAAAAAACAAGCTTACCCCGCCCAAAGTAAAGCAAATGACAGAAAGATATCTTCCCACCAAAATATTTTTATTACTAATTTCTCCCCAACATTTCCTTCATATCACGAATTCAAGAGTTTATCTTTCTGCAATTCTTCCTGATTTCGCCGCTTGATCCCGTCAAAGGAGAGATATTTCCCATCTTGATCATCGATTCAGCAAACTGCTCAAAAAACTCTCCTTGATCCTCTGCATACTTCTTCACAAGCTCTCTTGATTTCTCGTTACTGCTGAACAGAACCTGGTCCGAGTTCAACAAACCCATGTTCTCTATCAAGTTCTTGAAGTAGCTGTTGTCGAATGTCGCCGCGCTGACTTTGTCCAGCACCGAGAGAATCTGGTCACCTCCGGATCTTGGACACCTCTGGCGCAAGTTAGCAGCGAAGGATTGTTCCAGTGTCATGTCTGGACTACCGTTTCCGGACTGATTGTACAGCCTCTGTCTAAAACTCGTGCATCTCGAGAATCCAATAGTGTGACTCCCTGAGAGACAATGTAAAAGGTGTGGTGAATTGAGGAGCAAGTAAAGTAATAGGGTTTCTTTAACTGCGTTCCGTGCGTGTGAAGATGCTGTCATAGATTAAAGGAATCTTACCGGAGAGAGCGACAAGGTCGGTGACATCGAGTCCTTGACGGTTAAACTTTGAGAGAATTGTCTGAAAAGTGTTGTTTGGTGCAGGGATGTTGTTGTTCGAACCACTCAAGCTTGCACTTCTTGAATCTCTTCTTCCCAATGGAACCACCCAGCTTGGTCCACCAGTCTAAACCAAAACCAAACCGAATTAGCTGAATTTTAATTTTTAGCTCGAGAAAACAGAGATTATATATATGCATGGGAGTCGCTTACAAGAACAGAGGAGTCTCTAGCGGCTAGGGTTAGAACGTCAGCGCAAGAGACAGTTCCAGGACATTCTTTCTCCAACTGAGCTTTGATCTGGTCAACGACATCGAATCCACGAGCAGATTTGCTGTTAGGGTTCGAGCTTTTCTCACTCACTATCCTCCCACTGCTGTCTAGAAGCAAAGAGCCATCACAACCCTGCATTTCACAATTACCTTGCTCAATAAGTAACTTACACAATCAACAACAAAAAGTGATGAACGTTGAAGAAACTGAACAAACCTGAACGAAACAGTCGTGGAAATGAAGTCTCAACAAGGAAGCAGCCATACGGGTCTCTCTTGCAACAGCTTTAGCTACAACTGATCTCACGATCTCTCCGGCTTGAGGGCATGAATGGGCGTAAAAACCCGGGAATAGTTTGCCTCCATAGCTCTTGTCGCAGAGACAGAGAGGGAGAAAGCAAAGGAGAGAAAGAACAAGGAGAAAGCTACTGAGTCTTGCCATTGCTTTCTACAAGAAGATGAAGAAAGGAGAAGATCTTGTGAGGAGGAATGATAGGAAGCAAGAGGAGAGAAAGAAGGTATATATAGGAAGAGACTTTGAAGAATAAGTAAGAAGAAGTGGAGTTGGTAGTGTTAGTTAAATTGAGATTACGATAATAATCAAAGGGAACTGCAAGTTAAAAAAGAATTGTAAAAACAATTATTGGAGAAAAGAAGATAAAAGAAACTAAAGTTTGGGTTTGGTACCCAACATTGCATGCTTAATTTGACTAATTTACCTCCTTTTTGGTTTAGTTTATTTAAAATTAATTTGACTTAGCAAAGCAAAGCTTTGAGTTTTAATATATGGAAGTTGATATTTATCCATATTTTAACGACTCATAACAAAATATGAAGACTATTAACTCTTTCTTTCTAGGAATAAATATTCGAATTTTCTTGCTTCAACATAACCATTTGATGAAAGTCAGAAAGAAAATTCATTTAGCGCACACTTAACAAACTACAATAAAAACTAGTAGTCTTTGTAGATTTTGAAACTTAAGGTGTCAATCGATTAGACAAAAAAGTGCTAATCTATAAGACAGAAGCCATAATGATGTATGCCTAAAATGTTTTAAGGCCTCACACGATCATAACCGCATGGAATTCTTAATCCACTTGGTTCAATCAAGAGACTCATTGTACTGATATATCTTTTGTAGAAGTAAAATAAAAGTGAAAACCAAGTCTGAACAGAATAGTCATGTCTTCAAAAGAAAAGAAAGCAATATATTGCCTAGATTTAACTAAATCTAAAAGAAGAATGGAAAAGAAATAATATTACTTTTGCAAAGGACTTGGTTAATATACATAAAAATATGTTCGCCGAGACAAAGTCGAAGACTTTTGTTGTAGTGAGAAAGAGAAGAGAGTAGGAAGAGATTCTAACTACTCTTTTGACAATAAAAATCTGTCAAAGTTTCAAGCTTTGTTGACTTGTGAACACGCTCTTGTTCTTGTAACCAAAGCAACGAAAGGAAGTCTTTTTATTTTTGTCTTCTTCTACCATAACACATGAATCTGCAGGTAAAAGCAATCTCAAGGTGAATCTTTCAACTTTTTTGACTCTTTCAAATTTTCTCCTCGTTCTAGAAACTATAAACATGAAAGTAAAAAACAAAAAGTAAAACCAGAAAAACACAGTTCAACAGCAATCCCATACCATTATAGATTGAGACAGAACCTCTCGCAGCGTAATTAACAGTTTAGATCGCACCATATGTTCTATCACTCGGCCTCTGCGTTGGTGATTGAGTAGAAGACGCGGAAGACCGATCCCATGAGACTTCATTAGCAAAAGCATTGTTGATGTCTTCGGTTCTTGAGTATCTTTGTCCACTTCCACTCACCTGTTTACGAAGACCAAAACCATTAGATTACACTTAGAAGTTAACTTGAGATATCCATAAAGTATATACTAAAGACCAACAGTGAGCTTTCCCCTTGATTTTACATATATGAATACTTTAAGTTTTCTTGTAATACTTACAGTTTCTAGTAAGCCCGATAGAAGTGACATCCCTGGCAATGCATCAACCCCACGCTGCGCCCATATGAAGGTATCGGTGATTGTGTTTAAATACATAGCGTGAGAGAATTAGCACAGAATAAAGAGTGGAGTAGAAAGATAAAAGATTACCACGCGTTCTACTCTCGTTTTGTAAATAAATCCTCCGCAGCAGAAAAGTGTAGATGCAACAACGAATCTGACACCAGAACACAATAAGGAGAGCTAATTGTCCTGTTATACGGCCGGCATGGGAAAATCACAAAGCACGTGTGCAACACAAATATAATTTCAGTAAGATTTTGAGAAAGAGAGATTTTAGTACACGCAGGAGAAAACCCCGAATATAGCCCATCCTTTAGCTGATCCTCCTTCATTGCCTTGGTTGTACTCTGAATTGTTTTAAGAAAAAAGAGAGAGTGAGTAAGAGAAATCAACGGAAAGTTTCAGCTCAAGGGGAAGGCCATGTTGATGGTATAAGCTTACCGCAGAGTTTTGTGAGGAAAAACTGAACTGGATCATAACCATCCACTGGGATGGTCACGTTCACTTCATATGGAGTTCGACGAGATTTCTCACCTTTGAAATAAACAAAAGTTGATAAGAGTTTCAAAAGCAAAGAAGATCAAAGCCACAACCAAAAAAAGCAACATAGCCGAAGTTATTACAATTCCAATCCAGCACTAGAGTTGAAGGTGATAACGTTGTTGGATGCTTCTCAATCAATGAAGAACCAGATATCTGAACGTTAAGGCCATTCTCTGGGAAAACCTTGATGATTGGTTTCCCTACCAATGTTGAAAGAGAAGCGATTGCAGTCATATAGAGCGTAAGATGAGTCTGCTCCGTCTTGAAGCTGCGAAATCAGAAACACTTCAGGTAGCAAACTTCACAGGAACTCCAACATGAATGAACAAATTTTCTTGTTTGCATACCTAAACTCACGGTGAGGCTTCTCAAATCCAAACTGCGTCATCCCATTATAAATCTGCAGGTTAAAATCCACAACCGAAATCCATTTGTTAAGTTTATGTTCAGAGCAAGTTCAAATGCAGAACATAAAAAAAAAGCTTTTATTAGACACTTGGGTTTGTTTTCTACTTACAATTTCCCATGAACGAGGATGCAAACCGACCGTGAATCCCTTAAACACTTTCGGGCCAGGTTTCTCACACGGAATAGCCAACTCGACAGTAACTCTGGAGCAGTGGGAAACAGCAGGAACATATATCCGTTGTATTAAATATCTATTTACTATGATTCTTGTATAATCAGAGACAAATAGTAGCAGACAGACCTGCAAGTTGAATCTTGGGTGACACTACATATGCATCCAAGTCCACCTGAAATAGGGCAAAGAAAGAATGTAAAGGTGATAGCTTTCCAAGAACTGAGAAGGATTTTTTAGTAGAAGTAGACACACACCTTTACAGCGTCCATCAACACAGTTCCCACAAATAATATTGACCTGAACAAAACATAGAAACCACACTCAAAGGACAAGAATCACGAAAACCTTCAAACATAAAGCTCTTGTGCAGATATCTAACCTGTGCTGTACGTCCAAGTTTGTCATAACTCAGCTCACAATTTGACAGGTCACCGTGGTAAAAACCCTACATGTACATCAAAGATCAGGAAATGCATGATTATGATGTTCCAAGACTATCCCAAACAGCAGAGAAAATAAGAGGAGACTCTTACTTGGACGAAATCGAACTTTCCAGAACTAGAAACAAAGTAGCTTAACGGGTCATATCGTCCGAAATCAACATATCCCTGCACACAACAAAAGTGATTGTGAAATCTAAAGCCTTTTCATTCTATTCCTGAATCCTGAATCATCACCGGTTTTTCTTGAGTTTGATGATATGGAATTTACCGCCTGCCCTCTCGTTTCCACATCCTTGCAAAATCTAACCACCAAATCAAACTCCTACATCCATAAAAGACAACTCAATCAAACCTAAAGCCCTTTAAACTAACTCCCAAGAAATTGAGAATATATATATGTGTATAACCTTGCCATCATATTCAAATGGATGACCGATCCAGCTGCTCTGATCAAACCAAGTTAAAGAACGCAGCTTCACAGGAAACTCAAATCAACCAACGCAACAAAGCAAACTCCTTTACGATTTCTTAACCAGGAATTGATCGTAAGCTTGTTTCTCAACGTAATCAAAGTAAGCAGAAGACAGAGTAAACGAAAGAGGATACAAAATCGACAAGACGACTTGAATTGTCAAGAGCGTAGCAGTTGGAATCGGGGACGGGAACAGCTGCAGCACTATAAACTCCAAATACAAAAGCTGCATTTGCCCAAAAGCTCAAATTTCGAAAGTGGCAAGAAAATCACGAAAATGGACAATTTCGACGACGAGCTTATTATTACCAGAGATGAGCAGGAATTGAATGAAACTGTGCTCTCTCGATGGCCACCTCAGTGTCTGCATAGCTAATACCTGACAACAATCTATCTGGGTCGTCGTCTCCGATTCGGATTTTTAGGATTGATTTACGCCCATGATTTTGAGTTTCGCCGGCAGATTCCGATTCACGTCGGATATCGAGTTCATCGTCGAACCCTCTCGATAGCTCAGAAGGTCCCTCTCAAATAAACCGATCCCGTACAAAATCGTAACCGAAATAACCGAGTCAAGAATTGATAAGTTCTAATGACTCGATAACCAAAAGGCTTAATGAACTCTTTCGGATATCCTGAAATGTTGAATTGCTGTTTCTGGGCTAAAATGATCTTAATATTCAATGAATTTAGACAAAATATCAATTTCAAATTAGAACGGGCCATAAAGGCCCATTTATATCACCTCTGGCTAGTTTAGGGTTTATGCTTCTTCTCATTTCAGCTACATTCAGATGCTCTGACATGAATTCTCCAGCTTGCTTTCAATAGAGAGAAAACAAACTATGCAGAATCTACGAATCTTCTCCTCACATTTGTCACGAGGTTTGAAATCCATCGAGACACGCCCAGTTTCTGATAGGTTGATCTCGATCCAATATCGGAGGTACTCGTCGCCGGCGACGCAATCGGAAAATGTCTCCAGAATCGTAAACGAGCTCTCGAATCTCACGCTGTTGGAAACAATGGACTTGACGGAGATCCTTAGGCAGAAGCTGGATGTCGGCGAGATGCCTGTGATGGCGGCGATGATGCCGGGGATGGCATTTCCGGGATCTGGAGGCGGTAAATCCGGAGCTGCCGCCGCCGGAAAGGGGGAGGAGAAGAAGGCGGAAGCGAAGACGGCGTTCGATGTGATGCTTCAAGCGTTTGAAGCGGCGTCGAAGCTAAAGGTGGTTAAGGAAGTGAGAGCGATTACGGATTTGGGCTTGAAGGAAGCCAAGGATTTGGTGGAGAAAGCGCCTACACTGTTGAAGAAAGGAGTCAGTAAAGAGGAAGCAGAGAAGATCATAGAGAAGCTGAAGGCTGTTGGAGCCAAAGTTGCTATGGAGTGACCTTTAGGTACACTTTCGAATTCTTAAAAAAGCAGCTGGATTGTTGAATTATAGTAGTTGACGAACAATTTTCATGATTGTGAGCAATGTTATGTGTGGATGGTATTGGGTCGTAGTGTCTTTCAAGTCTTAGAATTGGAAAGGAACAGTATGTTGATTCTGGATTTGCATAAAGGTGCTTGCTTTTTTCTGTGGAACGATTAATTCTGATCCTGATAATATTGAGTTTCACGAGGAGCTTTTGAAGTTTCTTCTGCTCGCTCAAGCATAAAGTCTTGTATTCTTTCACGTTGCCTCTCTGTATGCATGATGTTCGATTGAAGGAATTTTGAGGAACAGCCATTAACATGTGACTAGATTTGTCTAGAAACAACTGGTAGTAGATATTTTAGAATCTGTATGATTTGTTGAACCATTTTCTTTGGATCACATGTTTAAAGCTTAAGCCTTTGGCTGCAGGTGTTATTAAAATGGAACAAGGAACAGACGAAGCTTCTGCTGAGTAGTCCCTTCAAGTGTTTGTTACAAATGTAAGATTTCATGATAAGTCGATCATCAGACTTTTTTTTAGAGGTAGAAACACATGTTTGCCTTCAAAATCGATTATTACACGAAGGCTTTTTAGAAGCAAAGTTCTCTTCTTTGGATCAATCATTCACTCAGTTCTTGGTTTGTACTAAGTACTAACACACAGTTGTTGATGATCTCTTCTCAACAGAAAATTCAGGCCATTTCTTTCAATAATCATGTTATTTCTTAGATTTCCAAGTTCAAACTTTTTTTGTATGGTACTTTAAAATGTAGAAAGAAGTTCTTGCTTTTGATGATAGGAACAGGTCAAGAACTCGACCTGAGATCATACAATTGGTTTTTAATTACAATAATATCGGACACATATATATAAGATGTTATACTTTATCGTCGTGGAACCTCCACCTAGTTTCTTTAGGAGATCTTCCATTTTTGCAGTTTTTCAAGTAGTGGTCATTGTCTTTCGGCCTTTGCTGCAAGTTGGACATAAAGAGAAGATAAGAAGACTGTGAAAGCCTCTGAAAGTAGAGAGAACACAAAACACACACACCTTCACGGCTGAGCTTGAGAGCATTGAGAGAATGCTGAGACAGATTGAACTTAGTCTCATCGCCGGTGACCATGAATCATACAGAACATCTGTGTCAGAAAAAAAAACACACACTTAGGAGAGAGCGTGAAACACAAGTGAGTGAGTTCATTGTTTTTGTGGGTTGTGTGTGTGTGAGTATGTTCTTACCCAAACAAATGTGACCGTTGCTGTAAATATGAGGATGAAGTGGAGCTGGTTGCTGAAAGATAACCTGTTTATAGGTGAAAGCATCGGTTTATTTAGGGGTCGATGCGATTAAATACCGATTAGGTATTATTATTAACAAAAGGAGCTTAAGGAGGAACCAACCTGTGGAGCTTCCATAGGATAATGCTCAGGAAACTCAACCTGAAGTTGGTAAGTTTCATTGGCATAAAGAGTTCCTGGAGCTCCATTCACTTCAATGATCCATCTTTTCACACCAAAGTCTCAACATTACATGATTGAAGGGAAAGAACGAAAAATGGGTATATATAAGTTATATATACCGTTGGAGATTATCAGAGACTCTGTGATTGAAACCACCAGGAGGATTAGTCTGCCACTCCATGAACTCTTTCTGTAATCTATTGGTGGCGATTTTGGTCAGACCCTAACAAATGTAAAAAGAGAGAGATGGTCAAGCCAAAGATATATATATCATTTAACAAAAGGCTTTTTATATAGAGTTAAAGAAGCAGTTAACCAACCTTGCGAGTAGATGGAGATGAAGTCGTCATTTGTCTTTTTAAGTTATTACAGTGAGTGTAATAGATAGATAGAGAGAGAGGAGTTTGTGTGTCTTGTCTCCTTAGCCATATCCATGAGCTTCTTTTTATAGTGTCTTATCATCTTCGTCCTGTGTTTAAAGTGTAGGATCTATGTCCAGTCATCAAGCCGACGTCGTTTTATCGTGTCGGCTTTCTTTAATTTGAGACTTTCCACTTGTGCTGGAGAACCGAATCTTTACACGCTTTTGCTACTCTCACCATCACGATCATATCAGTTTGGAATATTATCATAAAACATTTCAAATATCTATTTCCAGGAGGCCTTATAAGTTATACCATGTATTTATCCGACTTATGTAAAGTTCATTGTAACCAGATTTGATGATATGCATCCTGTAAAAATTGATCCCTAACTTCTTGTTTTCAATTCATATTTTCTTTGTATTATTATTTACCCGTTGATGGATTATAGTTACGTTGTTTTCATTGTCTTTTTGGCCCTTGTGATTATTTTCTATGGATGGTTTTAAATTTTGATATATGCAACTTGATTTAATCATTTGACTAGTCATCACAATCATGATGGTGTTTGTATGCACTGGCTTTACCTGCATTAATCCGGTTTATATTATTCCAATTTCAGACGATTCGATAAGGTTTTTGGACCGATCTGGTTTCTCTAAGACAAGAAAATCTCCTTAGCCATATCCATGGACTTTTAAGATAGTGTTTTTACACATGAAAAAATACCAAAATCAGGTAAAAATTTGAAGTCTTTGTGAATAAGTCAAGAAAATCCATTATAACCGAAATTTCCAAGAATAGAAAGATATTATATGAGAGGGATTCTTAAAACTACAATTATGATAGGTTCTTCTCTTTTCGAGTTATTGGTCTAAATACACTGCAAACTTTTGACTTTTAACACACGTAAGATCCATAGGTTTTTTTTATTCTTTCTTATCCACAATAATATAATAAGATATTAAAACAAAGTGACAACAACAAAGAGGCATATACAGTTTGTGAGTTCAAATTAACTTTCTGATCAACACTTGCTTTTTGTTCCTTTGCATCAATCAAAATACTGCTCAAACTTGGCTGCTCATTATTCCAGTTTCTCCTTTTTTTGTGTGTGAAGAATCATCTCATCACCACTCACCACCTTGCATTCGTCTGAAAAAGAATGTCAATGATTCCAAACTAAAGATGATGATTCCTCACTTTTGACGTTGGAAGAGCATTCACAAGATTGATAGATGCTCTCAATAATTTCGGTGCGTAATCATAAAGCATAATCTTTATACCTTAGGGAGAGAAGGCAGAGTGAGGAAGAACTTTGTATGGATTAAGAATTCCCTTAGGGTCCAGCAACTTTTTAATAGAAGCCATTAACGCAACCTGCAATTATATTATATCGGGGTAAAGAAACGAATGGTGAGAATAGCCCCAAAAGCTCTATATCTATAGTAGTTCCGTTTGATGTTTGTGTAACTCACGGTTTCTGGTGATTTGCTGTAGAAGATTTCTTCAGCTTTCATAACACCTAATCCATGCTCTGCGCTGATGCTTCCACGGTGCTTTGATGTCCACTCATAGACAAACGGTTCTATTAAACCTAAAACCTGCAAGAAGATAGTGAATGGAATGATAATTTGAACATCTTGAGTTGTTTCATATTAAAATCTGTATTTAGTTATTTACTTTCTCGTTATATTCCGCGATTGAGATGTTTAAATGCAGATTCCCATCTCCAAGGTGACCATATCCCATAACATTTGCTAAGTCACCTGAAGCACAAATGCATGTTTGGTTGCACTTTTCATTAAATCTTTCGGTTTTTAAGTAATTAGGAAACAATGGAACAATATATCACTTACCTAATCTCTCTCGAAGATCGTTGACAAGATTGTAAATCTCTTCAACCGGTAAGGATAAGTCATACTTGTAAAAGGCTCCTGTTTTCTGTAAGGCCTCTGTTATGCCCTGCAGAGTAATAATAATTACGACATTATTCGCCGTGTAACATTCCAAATGATCACTAAGGGGAAATATATAAAACCAAAGTCTTTTTTACCTCTCGTAGGCGCCAAAATGAGGATGCTTGGTTAATATCTTGAGCGATTACACCATCAGAAACTAAACCTTTCTCTAGTGATTTTAACAAGAAAGCTTCAAGCTTCTCCCTGCATTTGTATATTAATCAGACAAAACTCTCTCAAGGGATCTGAGAGCATTAGAAACCAGACAAATTATTTCTACCTGTCATGAGTTTCATCACTCCCCGTTGTCTCAATCAGAATATAAAAGTTATCTGAAGAGGAAATCGGATTACGTACGCCGTCTAAGTGGTTAAGTACCTGGAAAACGAGTTAAAAGCGAAAGTGTTTTCAGCAAAAACCATAGATTTGTACTCAAGATAAAGTATCTGTAATTTCATGAAAGCTTACCAAATCCATGGAACTGTTATCAAGAAACTCGAACGCGGATAGTATCTCTCCAAGGTTTTTTTTTGCTTCAACAAGAATTTTCTGGAAAAAAAAAGATAAACAACAGCTCACGCGCCACCTCCTCCAGTAAAGAGAAGCCAATCACAAGAGTACAGAAGAAACTATGTTAAACCTGGCAGCTGAGATAATCGTTGCATGCGATAAAGGCTACATTTACAGAAGACAACTTTGGTGGTGTGAGTATAGAAACTTTAGTTACAATACCAAGTGATCCTTCACTACCTGTGGAACCCAAGTAAAGAGCAAAAATTCAAGATGTTTTAGTCTCTTTTGGTAACGTAGTGACATCTGAAATCATTGTACAAGAACAAGACAATGATAATAATACCTACCGATAAACAAATGTTTTAAGTCGTAACCAGTATTATCTTTGCGTAAAGTCCCAAGCATGTCAAGCACATTGCCATTTGCTGTGACAGCTTCAACACCTGAGATTTTAAGAAAAAAACACAAATGATGAAGAAGAATCCAAAGTTGGATTTCAGATAAATAGAAAGTGACTAGAACTGTGATTGAATGAATACCCAATACGGTTCCATGAAGAGAGCCGTAACGGATAAGTCGCAAACCACCAGCATTAGTTGAAACATTTCCACCGATATGACAGCTTCCTTTTGCACCTAAGTCTAGAGGCATAATAAAACTGAGGAAACATAAATCATATGTCGCTAGTTCAGTAACAACAAAACACTCTTCTAATGATTTTCAGCTCACTGTTACTAAAGAAGACATGGTTATATATTACCCTTTCGTGTCGAGGAAAGTTGCCAGATTTTCCAGAATGCATCCTGCTTCACACACCAAGATACCGCTAACCTGAAGATAGAGCAGCATCGTATCATCACCACCAAGTATGTAGTTACACTATCTGTGACAGAGCATCGTATCGTCACCAAGTAAGATTTAAAATTACCTCATCAAAGGCTAAGACTTTATTCATCAAACTAAGATTGATGATCACCTGCAAAGATGCCACAAATTTGTCACATTTATAATCGCAAAAGATTTGTTTTTTTTGTTTGTTCCTATATCACTTATGCGGTATCTTTGTGAACTACTTATCCAAAATTTTGATCATCACTACAGAAAGGAAAAAGGCATTGAACCTCATCAAAGACAGGCACGCTTCCACCCACAAGACCGGTGTTTCCTCCTTGAGGAACAACAGCCAAACTCCGCGAATCACAGTACTTCAGTATTTGAGACACCTGCAACATAAAATATTCTACGTTTAATGTGTCATCACGATCTAAACAAAGCAATGGTGAGTTATATTATCAGAGAGAAAAACAAAAAAAAACCTCTTCTGTGTTCTTGGGCAAGAGCATCAGCTTACTAGATCCCTTGTACTTATGCATCCAATCTGTATTTGCAGTCTCGAGCCTCTCTTCATCTTCAATCACGTTTTTGTCACCTAATATCTCCTTGAAGTAGCTGACATCTTCGGAATTCAATGACGAAAACAAAGGGCTTCTCTGAATTTGTGAAAATGATGCTGACCCAAAAAATTTATACTGCTGCATCATCCCCAAATTTCTACCAAGAGATCGATGATCAAGCAGCTCTGTGTTGTTATTGTGCCCAGCATTTGGCTCAAACGTCTTGCCTTTTGATTCGTAACGATTCGCAAAGCCTAAACCCATAATTCAACCCAACGAGACTTGAAAATACAGATAATCTATCGGAAAAGTTCGCAGTATCTATACAAAAGTTCAATACTTTCCATCTCTCTCAATCTCTCAAATTGAATTATAGAAAGTAAAATTTTGGCCCAAAAAAAAAAAAGAAAGTAAAATTGGAGATCATCGGGAAGTCAAACCTGAAACAGAACGAGACGCTACGTTATCCGTTGATCGGAGATTAGTCAGAGATTTACATCCGAATTTTATAAATTCTCCAGATTTTCTCCATCTCTGCATCATCATCATCGTTCTTCTTTCACGTCTTCTTCTACTTCTTCACGTCTTCTTCTGTCTGACCAAAAATGTTCCGTTAAAGCGATAAAAAAGAAGCTGGCAACTGAAATGTCAATATCACCCCTGAGTCTAGATAACGAAACGCTGCGTTTTGAGTGGACACAATCCGAAGTAGATTTTAATCGACTTTACCTGTAAAATCAATCCCTAGCCTGAGAGCCTCCCGTTGTTCCCTTTGGAGCTTTCATCTCCAATGGCGTCCTCTTCTCTCTCGTCCCTTTCCTCCATTCTCAGCAACCCTCAAGGTTGCTCTCTCTGCTTCAAAGCCTCTACACCACGCGGCCTCGCTCTTGCATTCCTCTCCTCCAAAGCAAACCATGCCTCTAAATCTTCTTCTGCTCTTCTCCCTCGTTGCCACAACGCACATCGTCTCACGCAGAAGCCGATCAAGAGGAAGAGTGGGTTTGCATTAGATCTTTCCAGAAGCTATTCTGTTTCTCAAAGTCCTGGTTTTGATGGTCCAAGCCTCCATCAGTTCATCTCCAAAGCTCAAGCCCACGCTTCTCTTACCGCTCCCCAGACTGAATCTGAGTAAGTACTCGACTTTCGACGCCTCACTGTTTCATAGATTTTGAATTTTGTGAAATCTCTCTGCTTTGCTCTTAATCTCCTTACTCATTGATTGGCCAATTGGAAAGTTTTGAAATTTAAGGAATCAGAGTTCCAATTTAGCTAATACTCTGCTTTCCGGATTCGTTCTTGCTCCTAGATGCACACCAGATTCCGAAATTGCATCAAAAGGTCGGATTTATCACGAGACATATGGATGTCAGATGAACATAAACGACATGGAGATAGTCCTGTCGATCATGAAGAGCTCCGGCTATAAAGAAGTAGTGACGGATCCAGAGAGCGCGGAAGTCATCTTCGTCAACACTTGTGCTATCCGAGAAAACGCCGAGCAAAAAGTATGGCAAAGGCTTAACTACTTCTGGTTCCTAAAACGTGAGTGGAAAACCAATGTCGCTAGCGGAAGATCGCTTTCTCTCAGGCCTCCTAAAGTCGTCGTCTTGGGGTGTATGGCTGAGAGATTAAAGGACAAGATCCTTGATTCTGACAAAATGGTCGATGTGGTTTGCGGTCCCGACGCGTACAGAGATCTCCCGAGGCTGTTGGAAGAAGTAGACTATGGACAAAAAGGAATCAACACTCTTCTTTCTCTGGAAGAGACGTACGCTGACATAACCCCAGTTCGAATCTCCCAGAACGCAATCACCGCTTTCGTGTCCGTTATGAGAGGCTGCAACAACATGTGCGCCTTCTGCATTGTTCCGTTCACAAGAGGCAGAGAGCGGTCACGTCCCGTGGAATCCATAGTCCGCGAGGTTAAGGAGCTGTGGGAATCCGGTGTGAAAGAAGTCACGCTTCTAGGGCAAAACGTGAACAGCTATAACGATGATTCGTCGTCTGATCGTGAGTCAGGAGCTAACTGGGAATACAGCGAAGGATTCTCGAGCAGGTGTAAAGTTAAAAACATGGGTTTGAGATTTGCCGATCTCTTGGACCGACTCTCTTTGGAGTTCCCGGAGATGCGGTTTAGGTTTACTTCTCCTCATCCTAAAGATTACCCTGACGAGCTGCTGTATATGATGAGAGATAGACATAATATTTGCAACCTTATCCATCTTCCTGCACAGTCTGGTAGTAGCAGAATACTCGAACAGATGCGTAGAGGTTACACCAGAGAAGCTTACTTGGATCTTGTTAAAAAGATTCGGAGTATTATACCGGACGTGGCTCTAACCAGCGACTTCATAACCGGTAAGGTTACTCGAAAACATTGCTTAAACCCTTTCCATTTCGAACTAGATTCAAGCTAAGGAAACAGTTTAGATTTGTCCTTTTGATTAGGTGATTTTTTCTGAATTTGGCAGGCTTTTGTGGAGAAACCGAAGAAGAGCATGAAGAGACGCTAAGCCTGGTGAGAGAAGTTGGATACGATATGGCATATATGTTTGCATACAGCATGAGAGAGAAAACACACGCTCATCGGAACTACACAGACGACGTTCCAGAGGAAGTGAAACAGAGACGTTTAACAGAGCTCATCGAAGCGTTCCGCGAGACGACAGGTCCGTGTTACGACTCTCAGGTCGGGTCAATTCAGCTAGTTTTGGTGGAAGGACCAAACAAGAGAGCTCCTGAGACAGAACTCATGGGGAAAACAGATAAAGGACACCGAGTATCGTTTGTGAGAAAGCCTCTGTTCGATAAAGAGTGTCTTCTTGGTGGTGGTGATCTGAAGAGGAATCCTGAAACTGGGGATTTTGTGGAGGTTAGGATTGAGAAATCATCGAGAGCGTCTCTGTTTGGAGAAGCTCTAGCGATTAGTAAACTGTCCTTGTTTCATGATGTTGGTGTCGTCGATGCTGTTGTTGCGTCTTGTGCAAGTTAAACTTTTGTTTTGTTTTCCTTTTTCATGTATACTTTTATAGTCATCCAAATCAATTTATTTACAGGGACATTTTTTTGGTTTTAAAAGAAAAACTGTAATAAAAAAAAGTGTTAGAAACGTCCGCTATGAACTGAGGGAGTGGTGTGAGTAATGATTTTATTTTTCGGAATCACCAAATGTTTGATTTGACTGCGACTATGACAATGTTATTATTGTGTTTCTACTGTACTCTCTGTTGCCACACCCTTCCATTTAATTTTTGATTTTTTTTTTCCCACATCAAATGTGGAGTGCCGTGAAAAATATGTTTTATACAGTTGAATGTATTTTAGCGGTTATATGTTCTACTCAATTCATTTTTCAGCGATTCTGGTAATAGGCAATAAAGATAATCGCAAATCAATATTTTTATACGTATTTAACAGAAGAAAAAGGTTCACAGCTCGAAACATTTTTAACTGTCTGGGTAGTCTATCGCTGACTAGGATACAGATATCAAGAATTATTAAACAGTCTAGTGTTAAATTTAAGTTACTGGGTGATTTCTTTTTAACAGATACTAAAATATACTGGTTTTTCATATCTTATATGGCTATGTGTTGTTACAAGTTGTGGTCAGGTGTATTTTTTTATACACACATTAGGCAGAAAGCTTTCTTTTTTTTGGTCCAATGCAGAAAGCTTTCTAATTAACTAATTGTGGACCGACCTTTTATAAACATGTGTACCTCGGCTTTCTATCAGACATATACATTCGATTAGTTAATATGACTCTTGCCTCTTGGATGTTAAGTCTAAAGTTAAAAGAGAGGGAAAAAAAAGCTATAGTGATCACATTCCCCAATAATAAAGCTGGATTAAGTATTTCATATAGTTTTAAGTTTAAGTATTTCATAAGATATCAATAATCATACAGTGGCATAAGCAAATAAAATTGATTAATGGCACTGATTTATGTAGATCATCTTGTGTGGCCGTCATGATTTAATCATACAATCGGTGAACTTATGTACATCATTGTTTCAAATCTAAAAGCAGATCTTGAGTTGCTTAAATAATTTTTTCCTAATGCATTTGATGATTCTTTTAATTCTCTTTTACTTCGATCTAATGGTCTATAGTATTCAACTATCAAGTTTGGGTTGTAATTAATATTTAATCATATACTTTGCTAATAAACAATGTAGTCCGGGGAAGTGGATCATATTATTGAGATCTAAACATAATAAAGCATGCACTACCATAATGAATAGTCATTACTTTGATAGGTGATAACCGTAACCGATAACTCATTCCATCGGTTAAAAAGTTATTTTATGACTATTTTCGAATACGAGTTCAAGTTTGATTTTAAAAAACAAAAAAGATTCTGGCTTGTTATTATTAAACATGATGGGGTTCAATTTGCATCCACTTATTGGTATATCCTGTTTCATTGCCGTTTTATAACGATTTAGCAATTGATATCTATGTGTTGCTAATAGTCGACTAAATATGGATAAACAGATTAATAAACACAAAAGAAATAATAAGTTAAACAAAATTGTGTGGGGGTGAGAAGTGAGAAGTAGCTATCTAATATCTAAAAAAATGAGACGAGACAAAACGGCCTAAGCGTGGCGCAATAGCCGCTCCCCAATTTCTGTCCCCTCATTTATTCCTCCCTTACAACAACACTTAATTTTTCTTACTTCTCTTAAATTAATCTAAACGACGACTTATATATTTTTACATTTTTAAAAATTCGGACCCGATGTTTTTATATGAGTGTTGTATCACTAGTCTTCTTCTGGTCAAATACATGCACATATCTTTATGAAATTTCTATTTTAAAATCATTTATTAGTGAAATTATATTCATTTCCATAAAATAATTATCATAGAAGATATATCATTCACATGCAACATTAAATGTGATATTGTTAGATTGTGAGCATATCAAATTTTACCATATATAACTTAACGTTTTTATTTTAGTCAAATATTGTACTTCAAAATGTGTACTAGTAATTAACTGTTTTGGTTATTTACTGGTTGAATATATATATATATATATTTAGAAATTAACTGTTTTAGTTGTTTTTTAGTTTGAATATATAAATACAATTAATTTAATTGTGTATATCATTAATTCCTCTGCTTCGCACCCATTGAAAATGACATTACCATAGTTTTAGCTCTTACAAATATTTATTCTCTCACTTTCTCTTCCTGCATGGTTTTTGAGAATTGAGAGAACCTTTTATAGTTCTCTATCATCTCTTCACAAATTTTGCTATTTCTACAATACATGTGGTAGTTTCATGTGATTAGGCATATAGTTATTGCCAATAAAACTGGTGAACTTTTGTTTGGTGTGTTTATGTATTCTCCGGCAAAAGCAGGACTTTTCCGGTCGCCGGGAAATCTCTCGTTCCCTTCTGATTTCATGGATTATTGGGTCGCCGGTTTCTTGTTTTTAACGGCCGGAATTCTTCTCCGTCCATGGCTCTGGTTTCGTCAAGATCAAGATCAAGAAGAAGAAGAGAAAGAGAAGAAGAAAAGAATGATTCCGAAGGGAAGCTTAGGATGGCCGGTGATCGGAGAAACCCTAGCCTTCATTGCTTGTGGATATTCTTCTCGGCCTGTTACCTTCATGGACAAACGAAAGTCTTTGTAAGTCTTTTTTTCTACTAATTTCACTAACCAAGGGAATTTTTTCTTTCTTTCTTTTAAATCCTTTAATAAAAAAACGGAGTTTTCACTGAAATACAATTCTTTGAAAACGCGATTTTCAAAAGAAAATCCTTTAGAGACTAATCAAATTTTCTTAAATTTCTCCTTTGGTTTTTTTTTTGTAACAAGATTTAAAATTTCTCCTTTGGTTTGGTTGCACCTGCGTAATTAGTTTTTCTGTGTGTTTGTTATCTGCTTAATTAGTCCAGTGACCTTAATTAGTCCACAATATCTGCTTCATTATGAATTTAGTCTGGTGAAGCGTCTTTTCTGTTCCTATTTATATTCTTGTAAATCGATTTTCCAATTATTCATAGTCATCATTTTAAGTCAATTGCAAACGAAACACCTAATAAAACACCACTAAAATACAATAAAACTAAGAATTACTTTTCTTTAGGTATAGTCAAATCAACTAATTTCCATTTTAAGGTAAAGAAAACAAAATATACGGTGGTCATATTAATTATAACGATTTTGCTTATATACAAATAACTCTTTTGGGGATGCGAAATTGCGAATAAGATAAATAAAATCTCTTGGACATAACATGATTCTAATGATTAAAAAAAAAGACTGACAAAACCAACCTGTCTTCATGTTCTTGGCTATATACAACAGCAAAAGAGTTTAAGCGGAGGAACTTGTTTTATTTTTGGATGATTGAGTTCACTTCATTTCATGTGTCATCTTTATCTCTTCTGTTTTCTATAATATTTTCCTATGTTATTTGTTTTTTATAATATAGCCTAAACATTTTTGCTGTGCTCTTCTGCTATACATTATTATTTCCTGCATACTACTAAAATTTTCAAGATGGGTCCTCTTGAATACCCACTGATTTATCGTTTACCTTATTTTTATTTTATCTTCTCTTTTTAATTTTCTGTATATTTATAGTTATATAGAATTATTGCAATTTCGACTAAGTTTTGTAGAATTAATAGTATATAACAAAATACCGAATAAAAAATGCACTTATCTATCAGAATGGGTTTTTTGTTCTGTCGAACTTGGTCTACGACTAACTTAGATTACATTTAATTATTTTCACCACTATTATTACCCTTAGTATATAAACTAACACATTAAAATTTTGAAAGCCTAATTCGAAAAGAAGAAGTAGATAGATACCTATAACCTCGGGATATTCGAGGGGAAGGGATATTATAAAAGGCAGCAAATAGGCACAGACGAGATATTGCTTTTTGTAGCCATACACACCATTTAGCCTTATTCTCCATAGACTTCCCGTTTCCATTTAATTCATCACGAGCCAATAAATACACTCCCATGCATTACTAAATCCCAAAAAGAAAAAATATTTTATTTTATACCATTTCCATGGATTATTATTATGTCGCTATTTTTTGTTGTTTCTGGAAATATTTATCAACTAAAAATTTCCAGGTTTAATTATATCTTTAACTAACCCATTGTACTAGAAATTTAAATGTTTTCTATGACTCTAGCTACGTAGCGTTAATTTTCATACAATTAATATACCCATATTTGATTTCGGATGTGGTAAAGTTTCCTGTAATTGTTTTATGTTTCTTACGGAAATCAATTTACATGTAAAACACATAGGTACGGGAAGGTGTTCAAGACGAACATAATAGGGACACCAATCATAATATCAACGGATGCAGAAGTTAACAAAGTGGTGCTCCAAAACCATGGGAACACATTTGTCCCTGCATACCCTAAATCAATCACCGAACTACTTGGAGAAAACTCTATTCTCAGCATCAATGGACCTCATCAAAAGAGGCTTCACACGATCATTGGTGCGTTTCTTAGATCTCCTCATCTCAAGGAGAGGATCACTCGAGACATCGAGGCCTCGGTTGGTCTCACTTTATCTTCTTGGTCTCAACTTCCCTTGGTTCATGTCCAAGATGAAACCAAAAAGGTACATTGTCCTTAAGAATCTGATTAATTTCTTATTTACAACTCACACATGTTACATGTCATGTTTGTTTATGTATGTTATAACACATTTTCATTCGTATCATGTTTTTTATTTGTTGTAGATGACGTTTGAGATCTTAGTAAAAGTGTTGATGAGCATATCTCCTGGTGAAGATTTAGACATTCTCAAGCTTGAGTTCGAAGAATTCATCAAGGGTTTGATTTGTATCCCAATTAAATTCCCTGGCACTAGACTTTATAAATCCCTCAAGGTAATATATATTTTTATTTATATTATTATCAATATTATTATCATGAACTATATCGTAATTTTTTTGTCAGTCAAATCAAATTCGCATGTAAATCACTAG